TACACACGCTAGGCAGATGTGCTAATTGCTTGGCAGTCTTTCTCTAATACACATATGTGGTGGGGGGAAAACCAGTTTTCCCCCTAGAGTTATAAAATGGTAACCCCCAGGAGGTGGTGACCCTTGGGGTTAAACCAATGAACACTCCTGCAAAATATAAACATATCAACAACCAGACCACAAAAGAAAGTTAGTTGTAGTTGTTCTTGGAGAGAGGTGGCCATGTTGTAAAGCCACGAGGAGAAGGGGCAGGAGCCCCTCTGGGGGGCCACGGCCCCCTAGCCCCCGGCTGTGGGTCATAGAAACTCGGAAACAGTGTTAAACTGGACTGAGATCTGTGACTTGAGAAACTGGGAGTCTTTTTCCCTCCACCGTGGACAGCAGGAGCAGCAGCGGAAGAAGCAGCAGCATACGGAGGGCAGAGAGCCAAGAGATAAGAGAGAAGCAGCAAAACCGGGATGCAGCCAAGGAAGACACAGAGATCTCTGATAGAGAGAGAGCAGGACTAAGCCCTGCAGAGATAGAGTTCGGGGTAAGAACTGAAAACCAAAACTCCCCCCAACTCCTTGGAGACCTCTCCTCTCATAGAGAGGAGGGGTGGTGGACTCCCACCTGAGAGGAGTCCTAAAATGCAGCACCAGAGAGAAGAGCTAAGAAGCTCAGGTGTCCTGGAAAGCTGGACCGGGACAGCCAAAGGAATGCAGAGGGGGTGACCTTGGCCCCCCCCTCGCTGCTGCTGAGAAGTTAGCAGCCTGAGATCAGAGCATGGAAGCTCTGATAGAACTCTTGAGGCAAAGGCCTTCAACTGAAAGCTTGCCCGAGACGTTCTGACTCAGGGGTGAATCCCCTGAGGAAGGGACTGCATCTTTGTGATATGCCCATGGTGAAGTGAGTTTTGTCCCTGCTGGCAGTCCACGGGCGAGACCCTCGCTTGGAGTCGAAGGGCCGAGAGGGGCTTGGATACCCCCCTTGTGTGTACTGGCAGAGATCCAGCTACAGCTGCTGCATGAAAGAAGAGAGCCTGCTGCCCTAGAGACACTACTGCTCTGAGGGTGGAAAGGATCTCTTTCTTCTTCCCTCCTGGACTTTTATTTGGAGGAAGAAGTGATTTGATCCATTGTAAATACTGATTTATCATAGAAGAAATAGTTAAGATAGTCATGATTGTGTATGATGTTGCCGCGGTCCAAAAGGGGGGAGGGGAATGGGGCCGCGACACTGCACGGACCAGGGACACAAAGGTGGGATGCAGGTAGAGTGTTTATTCCAGCACACACGCGGGTTTTTATCAGCTCCGGAGGGGAAAGGGCCAGAACATAGGGCGGAGCGTGAGACAGACAAGCAGGGGAACAAATCCGGATAGGGACACGGGCAAAAGGGGGAGGAGTGGGGGAAGCAGGGAGCAGGCAGCAGGCAAACTCATGGCAAGCCTGGGCATGACCAGGTTGTGCACTGTGTAGTGTGAATACAATGAAACCACATAATAACAGTAAAGTCCATATGATAACTGTAAGGTCCATATAATAAAGTCCTGCCAATTGCTTTATGCTTTTCTCCACGCCTGGAACTGTTCCCATCCTGAATCTTGCTCCTTCACATCTCACCCTTTCTTATTAGTTTGAAAATGTCTATTGTGATAGTCCTTGCAGCATGCTGTGACACAAGAAATAGTTAATAACAATACAAATAGAGAAAGCAAAATTTCAAAGAAAGTTAAAAAAGGGTTTGTTTAAATGGACTTGGGGGAGGACAGATCTGCATCTTCCAAATCAGTTTGGACAGCTGCATCTGCTGAGTGACTCCCCCCTTAAAAAATTTTTTCCGGCCTGAGATGCCACTGCTCCATGGTGTCTAAAAGCTTGGTGATAGTGGTCTTCTGTGGACTACAAGATCCTGCGGAAGGGATGGGTTATGCAGGATGGAACGCAGTTGAGGGGGTGTTTGTGTTAACACAGCACCCCTGGAGCTTGCTGCCTTGTTTCCTGACAGTTCACAGGTGCACTGTTTAATATCTGGCATTGAATTAAAAGTCACTTTTCTCCTTAAGTCGGGTGACTTTTTCGGGGGGCAGCAGTTCTTCGTAGATGTTAGTGAGGGAGCAGCAATCCTTAGTCCAGTGTCTGCCTTTGCCACATCGCTTGCACGGTGTCTTTGGAAGTTCAGATTTTGTGACTAATTGTGGGCAGTTCTTTTTTGTATGTCCTGTCTCACCACAGTGAAAACAGGTTTGTAGACCGGCTAAGGCTGCAGCTATCAGCCTTGCTTTGTGAGAATCAGACCCCACGTTCTTACAAGCTTCTATCATCTCCAGAAGTGTGGGATCTTTTAGCATTTTTAAGGCTTGTTGGCAATCTTCATTAGCGTTTTCAATCACAAGTTTATTAAACAGAATGTCTTGGCTTTCCTTTTGCTGGACTTGCCGTGCTATAGCTTCCCTTAGCGGGGTTATAAAGTCCACAAACAGTTCTGTTGGGCCCTGATGAAGTAGGGTGAATGAGGGTGTTTGTGCATATGCATCAGCAACCTTTTTAAAGGGCTCGATTGCCAGTTCTTTTGTAATGTCCACATATTTTAAATCCACAAGAGCCTGGTCTTGTCGGCTCGCATAGTTGCCCTCTCCATACAGCATATCAATAGCATTGCTTACAGGAATACCACGCCTCTCCATCTTTTCATTAACATATTTAATTATAAGATGTTTCCATTCCGCTTCAAAAACGGGTGCCTGCACAGTTGATAACAGTCCATTAATTACCGCTTTGATATCATACGGTATCAAACGGCAGGCGAGGAAAAACTATTCAAAAAGTCCAACGGTATAAGGTGAACCTAAACTGTACTCTACAATCGCTTTTTTGATGTCCTTCAACATAGGGTAAGACACCGGATGCCATTCGGGGGCACGACCTTCCTCTAGGTAAATTGGAAAGGCTTTTAAAAACTCGGCGTCTTTAGCCTGCGCAGCCTCTGTCGTAAAGGCTTTCCAAATACCATTATGGGGCAGGGGTGTCTTTGCTGTCCGGCAGCTGCAGGGGGCTTCGGTAACAAAGGTTTCATGCGGGCAGCCATCTCCCCTGATGTTATTGTCGGAAGAGGCTCCGGCCCCACTCCGGGCCACGCGCCGGGCCCGACTCCTGCGCCCGCCGCACCTGGAGCTGCCCCTTAGTTTCCGTCTATCCCGGGAGAGCGATGACGTGGGGGTAGAGGCGGCACTGGAGGGAGAGGGCGTTCTGGTGGGAGGGTCCGTGGGCGTGCTGGGGGCCTAGGAGGTCGGGCGCGGAGGCGGGCTGGGGGGTGGTGCCGGCCGGGCTCGCATGGGCGGGCTGGGGGGTGGGACCAACGGGGCGCGTGCGAAATCTTTGCACGCCATTTCTCCAAGCGGCACCTGGTCCCGCGTTCACCTCTTGTGCTCCTCGGCCCTGTGCGCACGCACACCACTGCCTAGCTTGCTGATGCCATGATGCAAAAACCGCTGGTATTCCACGCTTTGTTTCTCCCTCCCGCCGTCCGCGCTCTCACTTCTCCCCCACCGTCCCGGGACCTTCAGGGCTTGTCCTTTTCCGGGGATTTGGGCTTGGATTTTTTGGATTTTTGCTCAGATTCTTGGAGATTTTCATTTGAACTGGTTATTTGGTGTTGTAGCATCATCAGAACCAACCTCTAGGTGATTAATGCTTCAGTAGCAACCTTGTCTCCCCTCTCTTTCGCTTTCCAGATATTGTATCCAATTTTCTCCCAGTCTTTTAGAGACATGCTGTCGGAGACTGTTTCCCCTCCATTTTCAAGCCATTTAGCAAGGGCTTTTGCAGATTTTTTGTCTAAGGGGTGTCTGTTTTCCAAAATAAAGTCATTAAGCTTGCGGTACATGAATTTTTGAGGGGTAGATAGCAAGAGGCCCATATTTTTGGAGTTACTTAGGCTTCTGTTAGTCTGCAGTGGATTTTAAAAATTTTGTAAGGGTGGGAGATGGGATTAGAGGTTTTTCCCGGTGCTCACCGTTTTCCGGTGTGGTGGCCGTCTTGCTGTGATTCTGGAGTTCAGCCGGGAAGGACCAGCGGGATGAAAACGCTTCTCTCCGCGTTGTCTGAGCCCTTGTGGGGTGTGGGAAGTTTTGTAAGATAAAAACCTCTACCTTCACCCCACGTTGGGAGCCATATGCCGCGGTCCGAAAGGGGGGAGGGGAATGGGGCCGCGACACTGCACGAACCAGGGACACAAAGGTGGGATGCAGGTAGAGTGTTTATTCCAGCACACACGCGGGTTTTTATCAGCTCCGGAGGGGAAAGGGCCAGAACATAGGGCGGAGCGTGAGACAGACAAGCAGGGGAACAAATCCGGATAGGGACACGGGCAAAAGGGGGAGGAGTGGGGGAAGCAGGGAGCAGGCAGCAGGCAAACTCATGGCAAGCCTGGGCATGACCAGGTTGTGCACTGTGTAGTGTGAATACAATGAAACCACATAATAACAGTAAAGTCCATATGATAACTGTAAGGTCCATATAATAAAGTCCTGCCAATTGCTTTATGCTTTTCTCCACGCCTGGAACTGTTCCCATCCTGCATCTTGCTCCTTCACATGATGTATCATGGTAGAGATAGTTAAGATTATGTGTGTAATGTAATATAATATTTTATTCGTACAGTGCATTGTAATATTATCCCTTCCCCCCATTTTGAGTCTTGTGTGGTGTCTGGAAAACCCATCTCACACTGGATTGAGATGTGGGAGGGGGGTTTGGACTCGGGAATTGAATTTTGGGGCTCTCAAACCATGACAACATATCGGCGGTACAAGAACCGAGAATGAGACTAAAATTCAGTTTATGTAATCACAGCTTACAGTCTCAATGTAAGACTTTAAATTTCTTAATAGATTTTTAAATATAACTTAAAGGCCTGAACTATAAAAAAATTACCTACATCTGAAAAATTCACAGTAAATGTGTTCGTGTTCACATGAACTAAGAGACTGTTGCATCTTTCATTCTGTTTTACTGCAGAATACTCCTTCAGCCTGATGACTCCTTGCAGATTCTAGCACCCGTGGAAGCTGATGTGGGTTTCTATGCTTGCAATGCATCCAATGCCTTGGGATCTGACTCTGTCTCCATTGCTGTTACTCTAGCAGGTAATAGTTCAACCTTTATGATTGCAGGATGGTCCATGTTATTTGTGTGATTCTGGACAGAAGTTGTTTGTAGTGCAACAGATGGATGATGAAGCTGTGTGTGTAACATGAGTCAGCAGAGGTATGCTGGGGAAAACAGAGGGTATGAACTCTGGAAAACCCTGAGCGTAGTCCAGCATTCATAGATAGTTTGTGAGGCTTATGTATTTCTGGAAGAAATCAATGCTTTTTCTCACGTGACATGTACTCTTAAGACAGTGCTTATCCTGGTTATTTGCAGCCTATATGGGCAATGCAGTCCAAGCCTCCCAATTCATATGCTTCATTTTAAAGCTACCACTGATCTTTTCAAGTCTAACAGTGTGATTGAAGGACTTACTCAGATGTACATTCAGCAATCTGGAAAACTACTAGAGCTGAAGAGCTAGTTCCTTGCAGAATCAAGCCCTCTATCATATACGAACACAAGCATGGCTGACACCATTTCAATTGCTAGCAAATAGAAGTTCGCAAAAAAATTAATTTCCATATTTCCATTTTTCTAGTAAGAGTTGTTCTAAAGTAGACTAAATATCCTGTGTTAGTTTAGAATTCAGTTCTAAAGAAAACTCATCCATATAAAAGCCAAGGGGAATAGGTCGTAGTGCATGAATCCAGCTTCTTCAGGGTCCATTGACAGGCAATGCCAGCATGCTCACAACCACGTCAGGACTAGCAGAAGGGTGGAGAAGCAAACGTGAATTAAGAGCTGTTGAGTAAGATGAAGGAACAGAACAAGCAGCTAATGACTGTGAAGGGCAGAGAAGTCTTACAGAAGGAGGATCCTGTTTATCACCAAGGCTAAAGGAAACACATTAGGAATGCTAGAAAGCTTATTGATTTTTCAGACTTTTCCATTTCACTGTTCCAGCATGTGGAAACATTTGGAAGCCTCCAGTGCACAGGCAGAAAACCATCAACTGCCAGTGTATCCATGTATAATTAGAGGAAGGAATAGCTGTTGGTATGCTTTAATTTTTAAAGTTAAGTTTTTTACACCAAACACAGAGAAAATTTCAGTTAAAAGAAGCAATAAGAAAATGTAAGAATGCAGCAGTGGCCAGCAGTGAAGCTCAGACGATCAGTAAATCAACTGGAAAGACCTTGTCTGTCCCTTGGGAGGAGAGCAGCTGAATGTTCCAGAGTGAAAAAGGAAGATCTCCATCAGAGCTACATATTACCTGTAGGCAAAACCAAAGAGACTGATCCTTTTTACAGTACTGCCAGATCAGGAATGTCTTTGCTGAATCCCAGGCAGCAGGGTAGAGGTGCTGCTGTTAAGACAGTATCATATTTTAGAAGGAGCAACTCCACATTAAACGTCTTGTGTTGCACCAGCATGAAGCTGAACATGAGGTTAAAAAATCATCAGTTAAAACTAGTATTCTGTCCACATAGTTCCAGTGAGTTTAAAAGCTATATTCTTTGTACAACTTAGTTTGTGGAGACAATTTTGTGTGATTGTATGAGAAATAAATGGAGCATTAGGTATACATATAGCACAGGAAGGCTATTAGCTTTTTGATTATAATTCATTATCAAGGCCATAGTTTAACCTTTTAGCTGAATTAACATTCATACGTCCCAGACTCAAGCTGAACTCCTCTTAGGAACTGGTATACGTTTTCATCTCACGTCCAAGGCAAAGAGCTGAACAGCCTATAAAATGAGATCATAAATATCAAAGTGAGATAAAAAAGCAAAAATCTTTTTGGCATAACAGAAGTATTTTCTCCAAAAAAAACTGGAATGCTGAGATCATCTTTAGAGGGATCAGGAGTGGTGCTGAAAGCTTATTTAATTGAAAAATTTTCTGATTCATTTTACACATGCATGGAAAAGAAAGACGGTGGAATATGCTTCCTTTTTTTTTTTTTCAGTGGTTTCCTACTCATTTATGGGTTGAACACCTAAAATATTTTTAATCTTTTGATGGCATTGTGGAAACCAATCAGAAAAATAAAAGGCTGATGGATAGCTGAGGAATTTTTCTTGCTTTGCTTTAGACTTCGCCACAGAGTATCAAAACTTTTGGAGATACTTCAAAAATAAAATGTAATAGTTTACTTAGCTATTCTTAGGCATTAAAATCACCAAAATAAAAAAATATAGAATACCAAAAAAATACCCAAACTGACACGAGAGGAATTCCAGATGAATGGCGTCTTTAAAAGCTCTGGAAATACAGCTATAAGGACCTATTTATATTTAGGACTGAATTAAATTTTCAGGACTCTCCATGAGCTCAATGAAACCAAATTCTTTTTCTCACTTCCATCTTTTCTTCCTTGGTCACCTCCAGATAAACATACAAATGAAGCCAGTAATAGATATTAGCCTAAAACTGCAGCTTTTTTAGGCAAATGGTGATATCTGAACCTATTTTGTATCTGACCATTTATTTAAAACGGAGTGGGAAAAAAGGATTTATAGATTTTTAGAAAATGACAGGTTTGAAGATATAACATTGTGTCAAAAACACCCAAGTAATATACCATTTAAAGCAATGTTGTCATGTTCTGCCACTCCTGCAATATCCTGAGATTTGGCTGAGGCAGAGAAGTGCCTTAATTTAGCTCCTGTCAGCTTTGCTGATTCACTTCTCTCTCTCAAAGCTAAACTTGGGTACCTCTGACCTGTTTTCTGCCACTGATGTTGGAAGCACACTGAAAACAATTTGAAAAGTTTGTTGTGGGCAAAGCAGTATCACTATTAGAGATAAACTCCTTTCCTTTCCTTAGAGAACCTGTTTTGTTTTACCTAAAGCCTGTAATAACAGTGTTATACATTAATACTGGTTGGACCCCTCATCTTCTTGTAGTAGACATTATGAGAAAATTTTCTAGTGGTCACCTGGTCTTCCCCATCCCAGTGATTCCACTGTAGGTTAAAGAAACCACAATCTATGTGTATAAACAGCTTGCATGTTGCTCTAAACTTCCTCCACTATTAATGTGCCTGTAGCCTCACTCAGGCTCCTGTGTCTGGTGTTTGGTAAAGAGTGGTATTTGGTTGAAGCAGTAGGCAAGCATCTTACTGCAGCTCCAGCTGCGCTGGGGTTTATTGATTCAGCTGATTCTCGTGTGTCCATATGGCTTTAATGGTATTCTGTGTATGCTCCAAGTATGCTTTTTCTTTTTTCAAGACAGCTTTACACATGGAATTTGGTGACACTGAAATATTATAAAAAGCAGCTGGCCTCATATTCAGCATTTTCACTTATTCATGTCTGGTGTGTGTACTTCCACACAGAGTGTTCCAGGTCATCCATCCCATGTGAGTCCAATGTGCTTGGTTTTATAAACTGTGGTGCTTCTTTTATGCAGGAAAGCCACTGATAAAGGCATCAAAAGCTACTGTGATCAACACTGAATTACCTGCTGTCACTGTTGATATTGGAAGCATGGTGAAAACAATCCAGAAAGCAAATGTTACCATTAACTGCCACGTTGCAGGTAAAAAATTATTCTGTTTCCCATGCAGGTGCCTTCGGCTATAAATTTCTGTGGGATTCTTTGCTAAATTGATATCTCCAGTTGCAGCTGGGTAAAATTACAGGGTTTTCCTAGGTCTCAGGCAAACTTCATTGCTTCCATTAATTCTTAGCATAGAACTTGTCCTCCTTTTATCTGTACCAAACAAGGTAAGTGTAGTGGTTCAAGTACATTGGGCTGAGAAAATACGACAGGCATCATTGTTGGAGATACCCAGTATGATGTGGATACAACAAAACTGATACACATTCCTACATGCTGGGGACGTTTGGTGAGAATATACAACCATGGACCGATTCATTTCCTCATTGATGGGGTTTTTAGAGACCACACCACTTAGTTTCTTCTTTTCCTGCCAAACCTCTATTTTAAATTAAAGGCAGGTTAGCACACTGTTTTTTTCTGTTTTTTCTCTTGGGTTTTTTTTCATGTTGAAAGTGCAGGAATTCAGAGGAATTCTGCTGAAACAGGATTCTCCCTCAAACTATTTTCCAGCCAGAGACTGAATGTCCTTACAGAGGCAGTTTGTCTCTTTCCAATGGTAACCAAAATAGATTGATCTTACCTGCGTGTGCCAGTCCTCTGGCTGTTGGTGGGAATGGTGTTGATATGGGGAGGATGGGTGGGGGAAGGAAGAGAGGGAAATCTCTTAAGACCCAGGACCAGACCATTGATTCATTACACTTTCAAGCATATTATGAGGGGGCATGGGAGAGAAGGGAGTAGCCTATAAAACATAAAGTAAGCCATGCTGAATATTACATAAATAGCTGGGGTGGAGACTTGTATGAAGCCTCTTAGGCTCTTGCTTTAGTTTCTTGTCCCATAGCAAAGCTACTTCAGATAACTCTGTGTAAGCATCTGCACTGCAATGATGCAAATACCCTGCTTTTTTTACACTTTATGCTCACTTTAAGTACTTATGGTTGTAAGTTTTCCTTCTTCAAGTGCTGCCAACCACACCTCTATGCAAATTATTACCTGAAAAAGAGTACTTCTCTCAAGTTTCACTGTTTGGTCATCTGTCCTTTAGCAAAACTACACAATAGCTGGGTGTATTGTGTTTGCAATAGCAAAACACTAGTCTGGAATCACAATTTATTAATTACTCTCAGTGGGCTGAGGGAAAGAAAAGTACGGTATCATTTTTCCTAGTGGTTCATGAAGGAGTAAATTCAGTTATTCTCTTGCCCTCTCAATTATAGACACTTAGACACTGTCTTCAAGCAGACTCATGGCCAGTGACTTGCAAGGAAGAAGATGAAAGTAGCACTCTTTTTACCCCTACGCACCTACATGGTCACCTGCACTGACATTTGTGAAAGAGATTAAATGTTATATGGGCTTAAATTATTCTGAATTTCTCTCTCTGGGTTCTCTCAGCTGCAGATGGGGAGGACCCACAGATGCAGACAGTGATTGATGATTCAAGAAGTGCAGCCATTTCTCTTCAGTATAAAAGCATCATATAAAGAACAGGATGTGGCTAAGGCGAAGTTGCCACAGTACTTAGAGTATCAGAAAATTACATGAGGGGAGCTCAACATGGTCAGGAGCAAAGATTCAAGGCTTTTTCTGAGAGGAAAATCATCTCTAGCAGTTTTATGAAACTTACCTACTATTGCAACGTACATCCGCAATGGAAGATTTTAGCAGTGTCACAGCAGAATTTGTATTCTCTCCTTGGAGAAGGCTTTTTGCCAGCTGGTAGCATTGCTGTATATTGGAATGTTCTGTGATGCGGAAGAAATATGCTTAAATCCTATTTTTCTCCATGGGTGAGAAAACCATCTTCTGCTTCTGCCTTCACAGAAAGTATCAACTATGTTTGACCGCAGAGATTAATTCTGTTGAAATTATTATAAAATCATAAACCACAAGCTGTGATGTTACACAGGGAATAAGAGAGTGAGTAATAGCCACTAGAATCCTAATTTCATAGAAATAGTGTCAATAATTCAACAGCAATTAAAAAAGCTACCTCAGCAAGTGATCCAAGACCTCTGATTTTTATCAGATATCTTACCTATGCCTGGAAAATACCCCATCTCATAAAAGCTGTAAAAGAATAGGACAATAAAAGCGATTTTCCTTCTTATGTAAGCACAAATATTTTGGTTGAGCATCAGCATTGTGATTATCCAATCTTTTAATATATTTTTAATTATTCTACTTAGAACAATCAGTTTTAAGGGTAAGAGTAACATGCACTGTTGCTTCAGTCAGCAAATCTATTGTATCCTACTTCTTCAGAGTAGGTGAACTTTACAGGTATGTAGTTTGCCAAAGTTTCCCAGAAAACATTAACAATTAAATAGCCAGCAGATCATAGTAAGTTAAGGTGCAATGGTTAATACAATAACATCTGGTAATAAAAAAGATACCAGAATGTGAAAAGAAAGTTTACATAATTAGAAAGCAAACTAGCATATCCAGAAATTATGTGGAGATTTATCTAGCTGAAAAAAACTCTTCATACAGTCTTGTGAAGTTGTAGTCTTTTTCCTTCTACTACTTTCCCTCTAGTCATATCAGGATGTCCTGAGCCAGCACAACAGATGAGAGTTATTCTAAATCAGAATTTGGTGATGGTTAATCCCAGTATTATAAATTGTGTTTCTATCACTGTGCTGTATAGTCTGTAGTATAGAACTGTGCGTGTTTTGGATTTTAATGTCTTGGCTCCTGTGAGGACATATCTTTACTGAAAGTCAGCAGGACAGTAAAATAAATACTTATAAGAGAAATATTAAGGATCAGTTATGATATTTTCTAAAATTGCTTTTTCTGTTAAGGGACATAAATATATACTTGCTGCTGACAGGTATTGATAAGCCTGGAGAAGACTTCTTAAAAACAAGAAGTAATGGAAGAGAACACTACCAGAGCCTACAGAATCATTTCATATTGCCCTTTAACTTCTTAAGAAAGGCATAGGAACTGTCAAAATCTGTGTTCTGAGCTGAAATCTATAGATATTAACTGTAAGATGAGGGAAAACAAAATCGTTCCGGATGCATTAGAGTTTAATTGGCACCATTAGAGTTTAAGTGATGTGAATTATGTCAAGATGAAACTCTATTTTGGTTATACCACAGAGATAGTGTTGTGGTTTTAATCAAACTTGAAAACTAACGTTATTTGACTTGACATAACTTCACTGCTTTGTCTATAAAGGCAAAAGCTTATATTTTTTAACCATAGTTAGGTGATTGTGGTCAATCCCAGACTTCTTCAAAACTGTCAGAAGGGAACTCCCACCCAAAAGTCACACAGGAGCCTTGCAGATGTCTGATTTCCTGCTAAAGGATTTCCTCCAAGCTTCAGAAAGCCAGCAGCATTTCTGGTGTGGATGATTTGACTACTGTGGGCAATTTCACTTCCAAATGGGATGTGGGAGTAATTTGGTTCACATCAGTATCACTAGGAAGCCTTCTGTTGATTTCAGCACTTGAATTTTGCAGATACTCATTTGAATACTGGAACTTCAAGCAGTGTAGCCCAACCTATTACTGAAAATACAGTTTGACATGAAAGAAGGAACCAGTTTTAAAAATCTAGTTCTTAGGACATTCTGCAAAATGTCATGTACATGGTGATGGTTAAGTCAGAACAGGTTTGGAAGAGTGATTTAAAATATATTACCATCCTTCCTTTATATCCTTGTCTCTCTGATGTTCCAGTTTGAAGCTTCCTTAACTCTCCTAAACATTCCTTTCCTCTATATTTCACCTACATGCTGGATGTTATATTTTTCTATTTCTTACCTTGCTTTATGGGCCTGTGTTATTCATCAGCTATACCAGATTTTGATGTTCAGTTCACTATTAGAAGAATATTGTGGCACTGGAAACTAGTCACCACTACTAGATTCTTGTACTGTTGTGCTTTTTTCCTCGAAAGCCCCTGGCTTAGCAAAATTGTCTTGATTGGCTTGCACAATTCTGCTTGCTACATATCCCAGTTAGCCTTTTTGTGCTGGATACATGCACAGTGGTGGAGGAGAAAGCTGAAGAAGAATAGACTTGGATAACTATTCCCTGCCTAAAGTCTTGCCTGCACATCAAAATGAATTCTGTTTCCAGCTAGCACCTCTCAGACCTTCAGTCTCTTTGATGTTTATGCAAAGCACTCAGCTCTCTGTCTTCTGTCATCTCCCCATTACCCAAACAAAACAGGTTGAAATGCTCTTGCTCATCCCTGTGCTGGCTGCATCCTGTTGCTGTCTTGAAACTGTGTGTGTCACTGAAGTTGGAAGCTCAAAAGAAAATGAAACCGCTGCCCACTGACACACACTACTTATCTTCACTAAACCAAACTGTAGGAACATCCCTAGCTGCATGTCTCCTGTTAGTGTGGAAATATTAAAGACAGAGGAAGAACACACTTCTAAAAGTCAGAAAAAAGGTTTTTGTAGAGTTGCTGGATATTTTGTAGGTACAGTACCTCTCTCCTAAACTTAACAGCAATACCTCAACATTAAGGGGGTCTTACTTTTAACCTCTTTTTCTTCTGCTGCTAATAAAGTGCAGAGGAATCTGCCTTTCTGGGCTAAGACTGTCTGAGCAGCTGCCTGCAAGAAGCATATTAATTGTTTCTGTCTCTATAATTATTTAATTCTTTTTCTTTGAGTCCCTGCTCTTAAGGACTGTGGCCATATGAAATCTTCATTGTCCCTTCCCCCTTTTCTTTACTTTTCTCAGTACTCCTTATCTCTTCCTCTTCTCCCACTATTTGCCTTGCAAGTACTTTTTGCCTTGTAATTCTTACCTGTCTTAAATTTTGTCAATGTTTTTCCAGGTGTTCCTGAAGCAAAAGTTACTTGGTTTAAAAACAAGGTCAAGCTGCTCTCTGCTCACCACCTGCATGATGGGTTGCTGATAATTGCAAATGTTTCTCTGTCAGACCAGGGGTTATACTCCTGCAAGGCAGCCAATATTCATGGGGAGGTAACTGAAAGCTCCCAGCTGTTGGTTCTTGGTAAGTCCAGGATATTTTGCACTTGCAACAATAGTAATGTGGCTACTGGCACATCCAAACAGCAGAACTAATCAGACGTTGTGGAAAGAGGAAATGGCATGCAGGGAGCCCTGTCCTAAGAATCAGACTGCATTTGAGCTCTGGGCAGCATCAGTTGAAGCAAGTTGGTGGTAAAAGGAAGATGGATAAGGAGAAAATGTCTAAGCACGGGGATTGCACCTCCCAGTCCCAAGATATTCAGTTTAATTCTTTCAGACTTACTAGATAAGAAAAGCATTTATTAATCATATCTAAAGTTACTCTCTTGAAATGAGAGTAATGCCACTTTTTCTCTGTGAAGTGCTCTGCCTCTGCTGAGCAGTCTTTGCATACATTGCTGTCTGATACTGACCCATTTCACAATGGGTGCATAAACCCAGTGCACTTTTAAAAAGCACTTCCCAAGTTGAGTGAATGGTGAAGTTTACTTTTTCTTGTTTTTCTAAACAACAGACAGAAAGCCCAGCTGGGTGATTTGAAAAGACAATGTCAGCAGTGAAATATGAGTTGAAGTGTTACCTGGTGGTAATTGGATGTGTGGGTAAGGGGTTTCCTTTCCTAGTAACTCATCTTCTGTCATTTCTGCATGCCTGGCAGATGAATGATCCAACTTGACTTTTTAAGTACTTGAGTGCATTTGATAGTGGAGTCTCAAATTTTGAACCCTAATCTCTGTTATTGGTACAACACCATTAGAGCATCTGTTGTAGTTCTCATTTTCAGGACTAGAATGAGCTTCCAGAAGATGTTTTAAAATGAGATTTCTCAGTTTCACAGAAAATACTAAAATGAAGGTTCACATATTTCTCCTACAAATCCAGACCAACTCTAGAATCCGTCTAAAAAGAAAAAAAAATCTGAAAAAAAAACCCTAGCTGAGTTTCAACCTATAAATAAAAACTCCCACATGATCGGTAAATTCTTTTCTGATCATTATAAACAGCTTAGCTTTTAAAGATGGTAAATTACTGTGAGTTAGGCAAGCTGCTTGTGTTTGTAAGCAAATGACATTTTTAGCTCCTTGCTGAAATAAAACAGTTCAAGCATCCACGACCTGTACTTCTGGTGCTCAATGCTATCAGTGGTAGAAAATTTGCCTATTGTATGCCATCATCTAATTGAAAGAGGATGAAGCCACCATTCATTTAGATCAAATATCCCATCATTTTCATGACAAACAGAATTGGGATGATAGGCATTACAGTCAATTTTTAAAATAGCATTATGATTAGTAAAGAACTAAATCCTGCAGTTCTCAGCATAGACAGGTGCTCTTGAGCTCTGAACTCTTAGTCCTTTGGAGCTCTGCCTAAGCATACCACAGGATTTGGCAGGGTTATAACCATTTATAATCAGGACTTGATCCAGGTTGTAGCAGACACTGAAAAGTTTTTCACTATTTACCATGAACATTAGATTTGGCTTCTGTGCTGTATAAATTTGCTCTTTCTTCCAAGCTGCTGTATCTCCTGATACCATATATGAAAAGTGTCAACCAGAATGCCATGGTAGCCTTCAGAGAGAATTTATTTCAGTTTGTGGTTATATTGACCCAGATGTTATTTTAGTCCTTTCCCCAGTGCCTTACCTAACATAGGCAAAGCACTTTCAGTAGTTGCCCAAAGTTGCTAAATCTGTCCCTCTGAAATGGTTATGTTGCAGTGCAGCAAATAATGTAGCGATAGTTGTTGGTGGGGTTTTTTTCTTGTCCCCGAGATATTTTCTGCTATAGTGTTGCTCGTCGCTTCAGTCTCCCAATCTGTTGCCAGAGCCTCCACGACCTCTTCCTTATCTAGAAGACTTGACAGCAGTGCTTTCCAGTGCTGGGCCCAGCACTCATTTGGTGCTGACCACTCCTTCAGGAACAAAACTGACTGTCAGTCCAGGGAGCTCTGCTCTCATAGGTAAGTCAAGTGCTTTCAGATTATTTTAGATTATAAAGGGTTTAGAGTTTATATTACAGTTATGCATCTGGTTATCCGTTACAGTTAAGGATACTGTTATGCAGCCATGGGCTCTGGGACAAAAGACATCAGACCAACTGTGCATTTTCAGTCATAATCACTGCCAAATATTTCTTAGAACTCAGAAACTCATTTTAAAAAAAGGATGTCCTTCTATTAGTCCAAAGCTGCGTGCTGAATAAGGTCACCATTGTAGCACCCCGTAAGAAGCAATCCCTGCTCTGAGGGGCTGGAAATCTCATTCAGTGCAAAGATGTCGCAAACTGGTGTGCCAGTTAATGTAAAAGAAGAAACACTGGTTGTTCTGGTTTAATTTTTCTTCTGCATTTGGGTAGTCGTCTTTCCATATGTCTGCTACTCATGTTGTATATCCTTCTTCTTCAGAGCCTTTTCCAGTTTTGCCAAACCCTCCAGACATGTTTTGATCTTGCAAGCTCTCTGTTTCAATCTGGTCATTTTATTCCTCTTCGTTGTATCACACAACCAATGTTTGCACAAAGCCATATAAGGAAATCATTCCCAATGAAATGCTTTTCTTCTTTTCATTGTTTGCTGCCTTTCATATCTTTGATCCTGTTTACACTGCAAGTTCTCTTATATGCTGTAAATCCTTTCAGATCTGTGGGTGTGATTTGTTTGCAGAGAGAATCTCATCCTTTTCTAAAGTTCAGAGTATGTTTATTTTATGATTTAATTTCTCACACTGATCTTGAGTCTCTAGTAACTGTCAGGCTCAGATAGCCACACAGCTTCTCTAATGACCTTGTTACTGCATATGGTGAAAACTTGTCAAGCCCTACAGTTTCAGAACAATCATATCACTTTTTAGAGATAGAGATCTGAAACTTTTAGCCAGGGATCTGTAGATGTCCTGAGTGTTTATAGGTCTGTGTACTTTCCAAAGTAGTCTTTCCTTACATTAAGTAGCAATTTTAAGATTTTGTTTTCACAGTGGAGATTTTCTGTTTATGTTTTCACTTTTGTATGGTTTACTTTTCCCAAATGCTGACTTCTGCATACGTTTGCAATGGCTTTTATCATGCAGCTCTGGATTACGTTTCTGCTTGTACAAAAACTGCACTGAAATAGTCCTCAGTGGAGGAAATATCTGAAGGTATTTATTAGCATCGAATAAATCATTTTGAAGATGGTTTTATTGTACTCAGTGATGTAAGACTGGGTCATACTCCTGTTTCATCCATTTCCTCTCAGATTTCCAAAAAGAGGTCTTTAGCAGTTGTAGGGCTTTTTTATTGTTTGAAAGCAGTAATTGAACCACAAAGGGTGTTCTGCACTACCTGTATACAAGCACCTCCAGATCAATTTCATTTGACCATGTTGCCTTGTACCCTGCTGTTCCACTTCAGGATCAAGGAAACTCCATGAATTATAATAGCAAAAGAGCGAGCCAGTTTCATTCTTAAGGCAGCTCCTTCACCTTCACTGGAGTTTTACTGATCTGAATTTGAGGCATGTTATTATTAAAACCTGGGAAGACCTTCCAAGAGATTTTTTTTTTCTAGTGAAAAATCAGCATGGAATGGCTATCCAGTTGACTAGAAAGCTGTCCATTGATTCTTTCCATCATTTGCTCTACATTCTCTGGACGTCTCATATAAGAACTTGAGGTATATAAATTATTATGTATAACATCCCTTGTCTATGCTACTGCTGACAGGCACTGGTATCTTGGGACTCAAAAGGCATTGAATTAGACATGCTATTTAGAAATCTAAAGATATGAGGATTTGTTGAGAAGGAAAACAGGACGTGCAAAAGAACAGTGAAACATGAAGAAAAGGAGTGATAAGTAAGCTTTGGATAAACATTGTATTTAAATGGAGTTAAAAGACAACAAAGGTGAAAAATTATGTTAGAAGCCTGGATAAATTCATGTATAGTTTGACAGGGTTTAACTAAAAGGGGCATCAAAACTTCACTAAACACTGGTTTCATGCTTTGGAGAAAAAAACAGAAACAGAAAATGTTAGCACAGCAACAGAAGATTAAAGCTGCAAATGAGAACTTTTTTGGAAATTAGTGCTGTATAAATGTAACAACAATTGACAACCTGAGTTGAAAGGAGAGAACTGGAACTTCAGATTATCATACATGCTATACACTGTCTTTTGCAAAGTGGAACTGTGCAATGCTTCCACCATCATTTCAACCATTTGAAATTAACTTGGTCTCTGGAGTTTCTTTTACTTAAATTTCAGGGGAGTTGCAGAAGATAAAGGGTCATAACACAAATATCTGGTTTGCAGGTCTTCCTTCTCATTGTCAAGGGTCATTCAGCAGTCATTTGTGTGCCTTCACTATAGAAGTAGAGGAAAATATCTGTTAAAATATCTGTGCCCTGCGCAATGGAGTCAGCAACCCTCTCATTAAGATCTAATGTAATATACATTTTTTGCATGAGTTTACTGGAACATTTTTGTCTTGTGTACTTCTTTTGCTTCTAAAGGGTTGAGCTTTCGAGGCTCAACTCATCATACAATTAGAGAGCATGATGTAGATAGTGACTTACACAGATTGTTGCTTACCGTGCTCTTTCACAAATGTTGGAAGTATGCGCAGAGTACTGCAGTCTTCCTTAGTCCTCACATACATTGGCAGGTTGAGTAGTAGACAATTCTACGTTATATGCAGATCACACACGTGAAGGACAGGGCTGTCCTCAAAGCAGAAGCTAGAACACCCATGAGGAGCTTGGGAATATTTCTGAGATTTATAGTAATGCAAACTGACAATCAGTGATGAGCCACAGTCTGTTGTGCACCTTATGATTCTTGGTTCATGGCAGACACACAAGAAGACTTTACATTACACATAATATAAATTTCTGAAGTGACATCAATTTATATTTTGGAAGATTTTCACATTAGATCTTAATCTTATTAAGGTTTCTGACTTTGTGACTTTTTCAGTTTTGTTTTCCTGAATGTTGATAACAAAGTATTATAAGAAACACTACTCTTTTCCTCACAGAGGAATTCTTTTGTTTGTCACCAGATAAGAATTTTGGGGTTTTAGCAATATTCACAACCATTTGACTTCTGTCAATTCTGATTACTTTGTGGTGTTATCTTTTGGAATTAAAGGAACATCCTGAGCTTGCTACTATTTTCAGTAGTTTATCTATGCTACAGATATCACTCATTTTTTTTATACAGCTCCCTGGACACATTTCCATAGATCTTCAGCTTTGTAAATATTAATTTTGGCATAACCAATGTTGTAGGATCTGGTGTTCCTGACTTCTAACACTCCTGCAGAAAAGGCTTATGGCCTATCAAGAATACTTGTTTTCATTTGGGCTCAAGCTTGTTGTTTCTTGTATTTGAATATATTTCAGTGAGAAAGTCTGAGGATCTTAGAAATCCTGGTGAGGATTCACTACAAGTTCTCAAATATATTGTGATATTATTGGAGATTTCATCAGACTTGGCAAAAGACACAAAATATAATATAAAAATGTCTCTATCTTAGCACTAAAGAATACTGAATGTGTTACAGTTGTGTTGCACGGTGAAAGTTGAAGCTTTAATGACTGATATCTATATATGAAATAAATTTAAGTGAAGATTCTTGCAGGAACATGGGAATAAAGTTCAGAAATGAATACTTCTAGGAATATAGAAATGTAGTACTCCTTATAAATATTGAAGTGAAGTAAAGAAGGTTGAAGGAGAATGTTGTTCTAAGGAATCTGAAAATGTGATTCCCATCTGAATGGGAATGAATGGGAAAAAGCCCATTATTTGAAGTCTAGTTCCCATCTCTTTGATCTCTTGGGACTGCATATTCTCCAGTTTGCTCACTGTGAACCTGCTGTCATTCCCAGCTTAGGACTCTGAATTTTTACTTTTCCAAGCTATGCTACATCTATCCAATTTTGTGTATTTAGGGAAAAAAAGTCCTTATTTGTAGGAGATACTGAAAATTACTGTGAAGTTAGATTATAAAGTGTACTTTTTTATGACCAGAAAAGTACAGTCAGTTGTAAAAAAAGGAAATATTGCTGCTCCCTAGTTCTCTCTGATTACTTCCATATCAAATTTACTCACTTCATAAATCAGAACATGATTTTACTGTCAGCACAGCAAAGATAGTTCTAGAAAGCAGATTTCTTTCTGGTTTTATACATTATCACCAATGACAACAGAGTTAGAGCAGCCTAGCTGCCAATTTCACTACTGCTTCAGAATATGAATGTCTCAGTTTAATTAGACTGAAGTGTTTTGTTAAGGACGGTGAGTTATGAGGAAGACCAAACTCCTCCCTCTGAGCAATTGTAAATGCAAAATTAAGAGTCTCCAATTGAGAAAGTATGGAGAAAGGAAAAATAATAGCCCTTTATTAAAGGATAGATGTGTAGTGGCAGAACAACAAAAGAACACAAAACCAACCAAACAATAATCCTGTACCCAAAAATCCTCTTCAAAAAGGAAACAGTTTGGTACTTTCCTCCTTTTGGTGCAATTCTAACCACGATCAGCAGGGGGCGCTGTTGGATCACTGGAGGACCAGAGGCTGCAGTTGCTCAGTGTTGGTCAGCAGGGGGGGCTGTTGGGCTCTGGCAGTCGCTGTTTGGGACCCCAGTGCAGGAGAAGCTGAAAATGGAGATCTTCCCTCCCCCACCGAGAAGGGGAAGGGCAAAAGGGGAAAAAACGGACTTTTCCCACAAAATTCACGCTATCTGTGTCTGGCTGTGGCCAGTATTTCCCCCCCTTTGTCGATGAGCACCAACTGCCTCCAACACGGGAGTGGAGGTGGGAGAGGGCAACCTCCTCCCCAAAAAGTTCCTCTGCAGATGGGTCAAGCCTCTCCGATGCAGTCTGAGCAGGTCCGGGCTGGGGGCAGAACAGGGTGCAGGAAAACAAAGGCAGAAGCCAGAAAACAGCCAGATGACCAGGCCAAAAACAAAGCCTTTCCACCCACACCTCTCCCTGCATCAGGGCAGAAGAGAAGTGACTGCCGTTTCCCGAGGAGAGGGAAAAAACAACTCACCACTCACACACAGAGTCTTCTGACAGCCATCAGTCCGGAATGCAGGCCTGCTAGTTAGTTCTTTTGTGTGTGTCAATTACCTTAGGCAAAGCCCTTGCCCCTCCCTTGTTCAACATCTTTCTTTTACAGTGATGCAGGGGAAAGAAAAATTCCCTGCTTGTTTTTTTAGAACAAGTAAACCTGTGACAATGAAGAGCTAACTACAAATTTTTGTTCTGCAAACATCAACGTTTGCAATGCAGCTGTTTCTAAGATGAAATGGTAACAAAAACTTTTCACTGAAAAGATATAAAGGATTTCCTCTTACCAAAACCAGTATTTCCCTCTCATTTTTCTTTTACTGGCAATAATATTTCCCACTCATTTTCTAATAGATACACTAGGATGCCCAGAAGATTCCCCAGAAAGCAGAATGGAAAAATATAATTATGGTAGCCACCTCACTTGGAACCACCTTGCCAGCCTTCTGAGTTTGAATAAATTACTTATTCTGAAAGGTCCAACTGCGTTTAGAGCCAAGGCCCAAAGTTCAGGGATGGGTCAGTCTTTTTTAATTATTTCAGTGGGGAACACTTCCAGCCTGTGGGTAGTATTTGCCTGTCTTTAGATTTAAGAATCATCTAGATGTGACACTCAACAGAAAAATTAACCTAGAAGTTTTTTAATGTTCTCTGTTGCATTATAGTGAGTCAAATGTGCACCTGACTACTTTAGGAGAAGAAAGTCTCTATTTATAGGTAGGCTGATGTCAGGATCAAACTCTTTCAGCAGAGCCAGAGAATGCTGTAATTGCTTGCTAAAAATCTTGCTTTTGAAACATAACATCTGGCTCATAAGACTGAAACTTGTTCAAAAATCAGTGTGAAAAGCAATAAGTGACCCAGATAAACACAACTGATCTCACCAGTACAAATTTCTTGCAATGTGTGCTGATATTCTCAAGAACAAAAGTACTTCTTCTTGAAATGTAAGTTTTCCTTTAGACCCTTTTGCCTTACCATCTCTACCATGAGCCTGCTTTAAATTTTCTTAACTTTGGGAATTAATGCTGCATTAAAATTGGAAACAGAAATGCAAAATAATTTGCAATCTGCACAGAGTCATCAAAGAGACAACTCATGAGTAATTATGGTTAAACTGATATCTGTGCTCCCCTAAGGAAAAAGACAACTGTACAAGCTGTGCAGTAGGAGTCAGATAAAATCATGACTATCTGAGAAGTTATTTTGCAGAATGTCTTTTTTTCCTCCTCATTTTCTGTAATAAATTGGCCATCATGTTTGAAAAGTAGTTCTAATGCTAAAGAATATTTTTATCAACTTTATTTTATATTAATGTTACTTCCAGTGTGATGAGAATAAAGTACAAGGTGCATTCATAGGCTAATCTGTCCTTCTAATTTTGTTATCCTTTCCCTTCCATTTTTTTCTCTGTGAAAAATCTGCCTTGTCGCAATATTTATGAGAATTCCCAGGTAGGTATGTGACATTTCTGTAAAGATTAGAATTAAAATTAATATCAAGAGTATTCTTGATTATCATTGCAATTAATTCCCCAATCTGATGCTATCACATTGATTACATCCTAAATATTGTATAAAGTTCCTACAGTGTTGCAGCATCTTCCTTCTACAGCAGACTACACCATAGCATTGCATTGAAGTGTGTGGCTTTTCTTTTGCAAGTCCCGTGTACTAGTACATTTTGTTTTAAAAAGTACGTGATGATGCCTCCGCCTGGTCAAACATTTTGACTACACTGATACACTGGGGTTTTTTCAGGCAATCAGACACTAGCCCAGCCACTGCCAATCTCTGAAAGCAAAGTCAAAAGAGTGACATCCTCTAGGCAATCTGCTGCCTGCTGCTTGGTGCCATGAATGATCTAATCTGAAAACCACTGATCTGCAGCAGTGGTCCAACCTATTTCCATATAAAACAATATCATTGGCCTCTGGGACAATATCTGTTGAACTGTGAGTTTGTTGTAAGAGTTGTGGCCCTCAAACTTGTATCTCTAGGTTTTACCAGGATCACTGACCTAGATTCTGTTCTAACATATATATAACTGATGCAGAGCTCCACTGAAGAAAATTTTGGTGGATAAAAAGGGGTATTAAACTTGCCAGAGGTGTCCCAATCTGGAAACCTGTCATTCTGCCAGGTCCTTCACATAAAAGATCTTTTGAATTCTTGCCCAACTTAAGCTTTGTTCTAGAGTAAGTGTTAAGGGAGTTTCAAACTATGGAATCTCTGATCTGTTGACTAAAAGAACTCACTGTGAACCTGATCCTCATGAGCTGTGCTGATGATGCATAGACTTTACACAATGCTTCAGAACATCAAGGTTTTTCAGTTGCTGATTTTGGTTGGTTGTTGCTTGGAGAATTGCCCATTGCTGTGACAAAACAACAACAAACCTATAAAGGCTCTTTGGTTTTTAACAAGTCTTTTATGTATCAAAAATTTCTGATTTTGAATACAAAAAACCCAACCAACCAACCAACCCAAAACAAACAAACAAAACAAAATTAAAAAAAAAAAAAAAAGGAGGAAGAATAAGGTGGCCCTGTGGTTTAAATAGGAAGTTTGGAGACCAAGTTCTGTTTGTATTGCATGTTCAAGCATACTCCTTGAGTTTATGCCAGGTGTGTTACCTCACTATCCCACTTTCTTCAATACCAAAATGAGGATGATCCAAAATAGTGGGAACCCTAGAAGGCCTAATATAAATAATAATTGATCTGAGATTTTTTCATATTGCTGATTAGCTGCCTTTACACAATTACTCTTTATCATTATGAGATATCATTATGAGGAGAAAATGGGATGGAATTGACTACTCCCCCTAACTTTGACCACTTCAGAGCACGTAATTTTGTAGTAAGTTCAGTACTCATTAGGTACTCAATAGGTTTCTTTCATGGCCCTGTTTTTTAGGTTGTGCTGTTGATGGTCATCCAACCCCAAACATCACCTGGCTTTACTCTAGTGAACCTCTCCATCTGGGACATCATCTCCTGGCAGCAGGCCGGATTCTTCAGATACTCAATGTCAGTGATTTCACTGATGGTGAATTCAGCTGCCTTGCTCAAAATGAGGCTGGCTCACTCACACAAAAAATGTCCCTGGCTATACAAGGTAACTTTACAGTTTCAGTCCTGCAACCTTAGAAAGGTCTTTCCATGGGCTTTTCTGCACTGCCTTTCTTATCCTGAACTTCTCTCTGAAGCCATTGCCATGTACATCAGGAAAAAGATGGTTTGATGCTTCATTATTTATATATTTATTATTTATGGGGCTGCCCGGAGTCCCCCCCGTGCCGTGTGTTTGGAGGGGTCCCGGGCTGCCCGGAGTCCCCCCCACACCGCGCACGCTCTGCGGCTGCGGCGGGAGAGGGGAGAGAGAGGGAGAGCCTTGCCGGCAGGTGCTGCGCCCCTGTGGAGGAGGAGAGGGCAGCTTCGTAGCACACAGAGGTTTGCCGTTCCAGGTTTGGGGGGGAGGAGAGGGGAGGTGTATCGAGCGGACTGTGGGGGTCCTCCAACTGGTGGGAGGGAGAGCGGGACAATCCTGTATGAAGTGTCACAGGTGAGCAGTGCGCCTGAAGATACGTGGCAACACAGTGGAGGAGGGATAAGGTCAGGGTGGATAGTGGGGCTCCTTTAGAGTGATGGGGGTCCCGGCCAGGCTGGGGCCTTGAAAGGCACCCCAGCCTTGGATGGATACAGGGGCCAGAATGGTTGGTTGGTTTGTTTGTCTGTTTGTTTTTGGCTCACCTGTGGCTACTGCCCAGCTTTGGCATGTTCTGGATATATTTGCTTTGCTCTGTTACGTCCTGAAAGGGTGGACAGGACAAAGGGTTGTTCCTGGGTATCTCCTTGAGATTGTATATAGATAGGTGATAGTAAAGTAGGAAATGAAAGACTTGCCCAAATCGTTCTAACAGGAACAGCCTGTGTGCCCCTATGTGGTTGCGAGCTATGCTGGCGATGGTACCTGCCTTCAGTAGGGTTGCCCATGCCAGACAGGTCAAAACCATAGGACCAGATACACTACATGCTTGGGCAGGATGAACTCGTTAGCCTTCTGGCAGTCATCCTAGGAGAAGGACAACTCTCATCCCAAACCCGGGCAGATGGAGCTCGCTTAGCCCTGTAAGGCCATCCATCTAAGAGAAGGTCACTCTAATCAAACCTACGTCCTGAGGACCTCGCTGCCACCGTCCAAGCTCGCTTGGCTCTGGCAGATGAACCTTAGGATTAAAGGGTGGGTTCAGTTCCGCGCATACTGCATCTCACCTAAAAAACCCATTGCGCAGGCTTGAAGGCTTTACCCACATGCAAAAAGATGGGCGAGGGTCGAAACGGCAGGTGAAAGATGCACTGGAAGCCTCAGACCCAACCCTGCATGCAGGCGGTTCAGGATATTGGTCATTTGAGACTGACCGGAGATGACAGTCTCTTGGGGCAGCACCCTGAACAACCAAGCAGCCTTTTCAAGGACAGCACTGCTTGCTCCACTCGGAGAGGGGCCTAGAAAAGCGGGCCTAAACAAAGCTCATCTCCACCTTCACCCGGTTGGTTAACCGCAGACCAACGGGCATCTTCTTCCAATGCGGTCGCACAAAGATAAGACAAAGGCATGAACCTGCCTCCAAAGGTGTACCTAAATTAACTCTAGCATTTTGGAATATCAGAACCATGCTCAATTCTGTGGATAGCGGATGTCCTGAGCGTCGTTCTGCCCTAATTGCCCATGAGCTGGCTCGTCTCAACATCGACATTGCCGCTCTCAGTGAAGTTCGCCTTCACGAGGAAGGCAGGCTCAGAGAACATGGTGCCGGTTACACACTCTTTTGGTCAAGTAAGCCCAGAACCGAAAAACATCTCTCAGGAGTCAGCTTCATGATCAAAAACTCTATTCTTCCCAAACTCAAAAATCTGCCGACAGGTCACTCTGACCGCATTATCTCCCTACACCTTCCACTCCACAACAACCAACACATTGTCCTTTTTAGTATATATGCCCCAACTCTCCAAGCTGACCCTGCTGAAAAAGATAAATTTTACACTGACCTGCGCCACCTTACCCAAAAGGTGCCTGCAGATGATAAGATCATTATCCTTGGTGATTTCAACACCAGAGTAGGTAAGAATTTTGAAGCATGGAAAGGAATATTAGGCAAGCATGGTGTTGGAAACTGCAATGATAACGGTCGACTTCTGCTAGAATTCTGTGCGGAGCAACAACTCACCATCACTAATACTATCTTTCAGCAGAAAAATAGTCTGAAGACAACCTGGATGCACCCTAGATGTAAGCATTGGCACCTCATTGATTATGTCTTGGTGCGACGGAGAGATGTCCGCGATGTCCTCCATACACGCATGATGCCCAGCACAGAATGCCAAACAGACCATCAGCTTGTGCGCTGTAAACTCAACTTCAATCTCAAATTCAAACCTAAAAGGGGCAGTATCCCAAGGAGAACACTCCAAGTTAACAATCTCCAATCAGCCACAGTAAGAGACAGATTCCAGGCAAACCTTCAAACTAGGCTCGAAAACCATTCCACAGATTCTGCAGATTCCTCTCCTGAAACAATTTGGCACCATATTAAAAACAGCATCCTGCAATCCTCTGAAGAATCCTTAAGGTTCTCCCTCAAGAAGAACAAGGACTGGTTTGATGAAAACAATCAGGAAATCCAGGAATTGTTGAGGAAGAAGAGAACCACCCACCAAGCACACCTTGCACTGCCTTCCTGTCACGCAAGAAAAGCAGCCTTTCATCTTGCATGCAGCAAGCTCCAACAGAAACTCCGTGACATCCAGAACAAGTGGTGGATCGATCTAGCTGAAAAAACTCAACTATGTGCAGATACAGGGGATCACAAAGGATTCTATGAGGCCCTGAAAACAGCATACGGGCCTACATACCAGGTACAAAGCCCTCTACTCAGCGCAGATGGTCAAACGCTTCTAACAGATAAAACCTCCATTCTGAATCGATGGTCTGAACACTTTCAGACTCTTTTCAGTACCAACCGTGTAATCCAAGACTCAGCAAGTCAGTCCATCACACAACAACCGGTGAAGTATGAGTTGGATCCTACCCCCACTTTAGGAGAAACCCTCAAGGCCATACAGCAGGTGAAAATCGGCAAGGCAGCTGGGGTTGATGGAATTCCACCTGAAGTCTGGAAACATGGGGCCTTGCACTCCATGCTAAATTTCACGAGTTTGTGGTGTGCTGTTGGGAACTAGGCAAACTACCATCAGACCTTCGTGATGCAGTCATCACCACTTTGTATAAGAAGAAAGGTACTAAATCAGACTGCTCAAATTACCGTGGTATTACTCTGCTCTCCATTGCTGGCAAAATCCTGGCAAGAATACTCCTGAACAGACTAGTAACCACTATAGCAGAAGAAATTCTACCTGAAAGTCAGTGTGGTTTCAGAGCCAACAGGAGCACCACAGACATGGTATTTGTTCTCAGACAACTGCAAGAGAAGTGCAGGGAACAGAACAAAGGTCTTTATGTAACCTTTGTCGACCTCACCAAGGCTTTCGATACTGTGAGCAGAAAAGGTCTATGGCAGATTTTGGAATGTTTAGGCTGTCCCCCCAAGTTCCTTAAAATGATCATCTCACTCCATGAGGATCAGCAAGGCCAAGTCAGATACAGCAACACACTTTCTGAGCCCTTTCTAATAAAGAACGATGTGAAACAAGGCTGCCTTCTTGCTCCTACCCTATTCACAGTCTTCTTCAGCATGATGCTCCAAAGGGCCACGGCAGACCTCAATGTTCAGAATGGTATCTACATTCGATATCGTACTGATAGAACCCTATTCAACCTAAGGCGACTGAAGGCCCACACCAAGACCTTAAACCATCTTGTCCGGGAGCTGCTTTATGCTGATGACGCCGCCCTTGTTGCCCACACAGAAGCAGCCCTGTAGCGTTTAACATCCTGCTTTGCAGATGCTGCTGAGCTCTTTGGGCTGGAAGTCAGCTTAAAGAAGACAGAAGTTCTCCATCAACCTGCACCTCAGGAAGTCTTCCATCATCCCCACATCACCATTGGCCAGTCAGAGCTCAAATCAGTCCAGCAGTTTAATTACCTAGGTAGCCTCATCTCCTCGGATGGTAAGATTGACGGGGAGATAGACAACAGGTTAGCGAAGGCATATAGTGCTTTTGGAAAACTCCATAAAAGAGTATGGTGTAATAAACACTTGAAGAAAAGTACCAAGATTAGTGTTTACAGAGCCATAGTGCTGTCTACTCTCTTATACGGTTCCGAATCATGGGTCATCTACCGCTACCACCTGCGCTTCCATCAGCGCTGTCTCCGTACAATCCTAAACATACACTGGTCAGATTATGTAACTAACATGTCTGTTCTGGAACAGGCAGCAGTTACGAGTATAGAGGCCATGTTGCTGAGAACACAGCTGCATTGGGCAGGGCACATCTCAAGGATGAAGGACCACCGCCTCCCTAAGATCTTGCTTTATGGTGAACTTGCCACCGGCTGCCACAAGAGAGGAGCCCCAAAGAAAAGATACAAGGACTCCCTGAAACAACATCTCAGCCTTGGCCATATTGATCATCATAACTGGTCTACTCTGGCCTCCAGTCGGGAGGCCTGGAGACACACCATCTATAACGCAGCTGTCTCCTTTGAGAAGGCACGCAGGATCACTCTTGAGGAGAAAAGGCAATGCAGAAAGAACCATGTCTTGCAGAATATACCATCTGAGTCTTTCTGCTGTGCCTTTTGCAATCGGACACATCTATCTCGTATTGGCCTCATTAGCCACCAGCATGCCTGTAATAAATGTGGATAGAGCCTTCCTTAATCTTTGTTTGCGAAGCCTAGCCATGATTTATTATTTATAATAATAATTTATATTTCAGGACTCCAGGTACCTTACAGTGTCTTTTAAACTGGTTTTAGTTTACCAAAATACCACCAGATATTTCTGGCCTGCTGAGCATAAAACACACCTTACTGATTCAAGCTATACTTATGGTGAGTCTGGACAATTTTCTTGTCCAGAATTTTTAAGACAGAGATATCACAGTTTAAAGCCCTAAAACTTGAAGCCCCTCTGTTAATCTGCTAAAGTCAGTGTTTCACAGTCTCTTCTTGAAAACCCTTCACTTGTAAAAATGCTGAAACAGTTATTGTTATAGTTATCCTAGAAATAAGATGAAAGTGATAAAGCCACAGAACAAAGTGATGCAGGTGGATTGGAACAGAATATGCAGCTTTCGTTGCTCCAATTATTAGTGATGGCTAGTGAAGAATTTAACTTTTCTTTCAATTTTGCCATAAAATTTTGAGCAATATTGCAACTCCCCCATTTATCTTTGGGATAGGTGATCTGTATGATCTGTCTGGTGGGAAACACACTGTTTTAAGATCGTAAATTCATAGATACTGCTAGTAACTGCAGTTAACCACATCTTCACTAAATCACACACCTTTAAAAGTATAGGTGCAACATCCTGCATCACTGTCATCTGGCTTCACTTAGCTGGTCTACCATGCCTAATGCTTCTAAGCAACAACATGTGGGTTTGTTACACCAAAGGCAGTCAATGGTTCACATCAGGTGCCTTGTAGGTGTCGGTAACTTCCCTTCACTGAGTCCATATATTTCATCCTGGAGAACATCTTCAACTCTCTCTTTTCTAATTTACTCCTGCTGTCAGTTTTTGAGTGTTAACATGTCCCTCCCACACTTTTTGGCAGAATACCGGTGGTCAGTGGACAAACCGACAGCTTGTTCGGCTTCCTGTGGCCACAAAGGGGTGCAGCTGCCCCAGTTGAGGTGCTTGCTGGATGGGGCTGAAGTCAACACATTGTACTGCAGAGAGACACCCAAGCCATCTCTGCAGCCCATTGCATGCAACAGAAGAGACTGCCCTTCACGGTTTGTATGTCTCATATTAAAAATGTCACACATGCATTTAAGATGTGGTTGAGGTGGTTCTGCCTCTCTGGTGCCTGTTCGGACTAGTCATTGCTAAAAGGGAATTTATGAGTGCTTAATCAAGACAGTTGGGAGTCTGTAGCAAAATCTGTGGAAAACATTGACAGTACCTGGTAGAAGGAGAGTTCAATCCTTCAGTAATTATGTTAGAAAATAAAGTAGAGGCTATTGCTTACTTTTTATTAGTAAAGTTCACAGGTTGAGTTGTCTTGGGTGATTCCAGGTTGAGCTGTCTTCAGTGATTCCAGCCTCACCCTATGTTGGATATAGTTATCATGCCTTTTCTGAGGACTATACACATAGGAATTTGGTCACCCAAGAACTGTAGGATCATTTCTTTTTTGTGTTACACATGGCTTCGTAGCAGTTTAGTTAGACAATGTAAAAGACAAGAAACTCAGTTTAGCAGCTACTTTGCGGTTTAATTCTGACTCCTGTGTTGCCTGAACATTGATATGGGCAGGATTGTAGCTGTAGTTGCAACGAATTTCCTTAGCAGAATGGAAATACCTTTTGTAAAATGGGAACATCCCATCAGATCTAGTTGGCGTGAGGGGTGCTCAGAGTAAGTTCTGCCTCTTTTTGGAGTTTCCTAGCTTGTAGTTACCTTGGAATTGTAACTCTCTGCCCTTGTTTTTCATTACTATTAAACACAAAGGATCTAGAACAGCTTTAAAGACTTCTGGCTACACTTAGGTCTTCCTCTACCACACCTTAAATCCTGTGTTCAATTTTGGGCCCCTGACTACAAGAAAGAAGAAGGATGGAGAAGCTGGTGAAGTGTCTGGAGCACAAGTCCTGTGAGAAGCATCTGAGGGAGATGGGATTGTTTACCCTGGAGAAAAGGAGGCTCAAGGGAGACCTTATCACTCTCTACAACTACCTGAAAGGAAGTTGTAGTGAGGTGGGGGTCGGTCTCTTCTTCCAAATAACAAATGACAAAACAAGAGTAATAGACCTCAAGTTGCACCAGGAGATATTTAGATTGGCTATTAGGGAAAATTTCATCATGGAAAGGGTTGTCAAGCATTCAAACAGTCTGCCCAGGGAAGTGGTTGAATCATCATCCTTGGAGGTATTTAAAAGATGTGTAAATGTGGCACTTAGGGGCATGGTTTAATGGTGGATTTGGCAGTGCTGGATTAATGGTTGCACTTGATGATATTAAGATTATTTCCAACCTAAAAGATTCAATGATTTTACCCCACACTAAACCTTTCCTTGTTTGACAGCCTTTGGTGCAAAGAATAATTCATCCTGAGTGCCTATCCAAAGAGTCAGTATAGTGTTATGGCCCCTGCCTATTAAAAATGTCATGCTTCTGCAATTCGGTATCTCCTTAGCTGAGATGTGTAAACATTTTTTTTCCATATTTTTCTATGTTTTCACTCCTTCCTCTCCTTATTTTCAGTGTGGATATGGTGTGTTTCAGTATACAAGCACTTAAAAGAAGTCAGAATCTCAAGAAAAATGCACATCTTCCCTCATTCAACAGTGATTAGAGACTTGTATCAAAAAAAGAGAGTCTAAGCTTAGGCAAGGAGAGGTGCTAAGCAACTCAAAAAGAAATGTCCAGATTCACCACTCTTTCTGTGTCTTGGGTATATTGCACATTTCTGTTTAATTACCTTTTAAAATATATTCCTACCCTTCTTTGCAGGCATATGTTTTCTGAGTTGCCAGCTGGGTCATAGGAAAGAAACCAAAAGAGATTTGATGAAATATGAAACCTATTCATTAGCAGCAGTTTTTGATGGCAGTAAATTCCATGGGATTATATCTATTCCATGGGTTTATATCTATCTTTTTATACCTTCCCCAAATTGTAACACAACCCAAAATCCTCCCTCAGCTCCTGAGAAACTGCTGAGATGTAAGCTTGGAAATAAAAGTTGATTGACATGCAGAGCAGAACTTTATGACCAGTGCAGAAATTGCAGGTTCAACCTCACCAAACTGCTTAAAAAAATAACCAGTGTTTTTGTTGAGAGTATGTTTGTTTATACTTTGTTTGTTTCTGTGACCATGGGAGTTAATTACCTGCAAAGGACTGAGAAATAGAAACATGCCTCTCCATGGGACTAGAGAATGCCTATGACCTATTTAGTAAAGTAATCATAAACACTTCTGGTGAGGGATGTGATAGGCAGTATTTTACTCCCAAAACCACACAAATCCTGCCTAGGATCCAGACACTTAATGAAGCAAACTTCTGACTTGGCCATAAAACTGTTCAGGAAACTAGCAATCAGTTGCATTCTTCCTATTCCTAAGTCTTTCACAAACCTGACTGTACGAGTGTTTCACTTAATGATCCTTAAAGTAGCAAAATGTATTGGACTATTATTTTCTGTTGTTACAGCCTTTTAGCTAGTTAGACTAGATTTTTTTAAATGCAGGGGTTCAGAACCTCAGCCTCAGCTGGCGAATGCATGATCTGAGCTCAAGAGGAAAGGAGAACAGTGTCTTTTGTCCCCTGGGCTGACCTTCCCTGAGCAATTTTTAGGCTTTTCTGGATTATCCTACCTGTCAGGGGTACAACAGAGCAGGCAAGCACTAGCAGGACCCAGCAGGCTTTTGGCTACTCTCTCAGCACCAAGTTCAAAGTTGCCTCTGAGCTGCTCCAGCAACTTTACAGAGGTAGTTTTCCCTATTAAAGGGTGCTACTGGGCTAGTCCTTGCTGGCATTGTGACTGTAGCCTTTTACTGAGGCATCTGCGGTACAGTGGTGTAAGAACAGCCATGCCTGACCCCTGTGCCAAGCCTCTAGAAACAGCCTTAAGAGCTAGAAAATGAATTGAAGGCACAAAGAGCCTTGAGAAAGATAAATTAATGAAAACTGTGCTTTTTTCTCAGGTCTCATCTTCTGAGAAGTTTTCAGTGACTACTACAGGAGGCTGAGACACTCAGCACCTTTGAGGATTGCCCCCTAAATGAACCAAGCTATTGTTGCCTGTCTTTGGCCCAATATATAAAGACCTGATGATGCCAGTGATCCTGCAGATGGTGGCACATACCTGCTCCCTGACCTGTTTGCCTTTCTCTTACAGATGGATGGTGACATCATGGTCTCTTTGCACGCGGAGCTGTGGTGGAGGCATCCAAATGCGGCGAGTGACCTGTCAGCGCCTGACAGCAAAGGGCAGCTCTGTCCCAATGTCAAATGAGGCTTGTGCCCAGGTGTCCAAGCGCCCTGTGGACACACAGAACTGTAACAGGCAGCCCTGTTTTGAGTGGGTAGTCTCCTCCTGGAGCCAGGTAAGTGTGCTAGTTTAAAGGTAAACTGGCAGGAAAAATTAACTCAACTCAAAAGAGATTATAAGTCAGTTACAATTTAATAAAAAATAATACAATAATACAATTATATGGACAAACAATTGGTTTTAACTCACAAAGCCCAGACGTATAACCCAGCACCCTGGGGCACGAACAGAATGGTGTTCATGGGCCCCCGTGCTGAGCCCCACGTGGTCCCCCTGAGTCCAAAGTAAAAGGGGAGAAAAACCTGTTGGTGAGATTACTGGTCGCAGTCTGGTCGAGGGTGGTGGTTGCAGTCCGGTTGAGGTTCTGGTCCTCCTCTGGATCCTCTGGAGTGGTACCAGAAGTCCCAAGACCCCAAGGTTATATACACTCAGGTTCAAGGGGGAATGCCCAGTACCTCTCCCAGGGCGGGGAGTTCCACAACAGGTGATTGTGAGTCATGAGATATTTTTGGAATCCTTGGTGGCCCATTAGCAGACATGACCCCTCAGGCTGGGTGGGGAGGTTAACTCCCTGGAGGGGAGTTAACATCACCCATAACTATAGCCTGAGGGGTCAGGTGTGCTCTGGGCAGCTGCTGCAAATGGTCTATTGTTAACAGTTCCTGGGAAATGACATAGAGGGTGTAGAATACACAGTTTGGGTTACACCCACACAGTGATGAACTGCTCCCGGCTGCTCTAACTAGGACAATAAGGAACAAGGCAGCAGTCCAAGGACAGCTTCATAGTATGGACTAGAACAAAGAGATAGAAAACAAGTGGAGTGATGTTGCAACCTGGTGTCTTCAGGTTATAATTTGCAGACTTCTGAGGAGGCAACTAATTTGCTCAGCTCTTACAACTCTCTATATGATGCACTACCTGCTTGGATTTCTGTAGCTTCCCGTGATCCCTAGAAATGCTGCTTGTGAACAGGACTTTTACTGCAAAGCCCGTATCATCCCCAGTGAAAAGGTCTGCAGTTCCTTGTTATAGTGACAGGTGACATATCTGGGAAATAGCTTTCTCTAAGTCTTAAGTCCCCTTACTAGCCAGTGAGTGTGTTTCAGCCTTGGCTGTCAGGAGTCAGGATTGATGATTGTGATAGGTTTGAGGCAGAAAGATTTTACAATAACACAGTTTTACAAAGTTGCTAATGTTGCCTGAGAATACCAAAAAGCGTGAGCTTTTTTGATTTGATTCATGATGAAATGCAGAATGGAGGGCAGGAAACATTTTCAGAATACTTCATGCTGCTTTGCAGATCTTCAAATTCTCTCTTTGGAGATTGTGTTGCATCAAATTTTATTGCTGTGTTGGTAGTAAAGAGTGTCTTCAGCTACTAGAACATGTTATTGTTCACTACTTGAAAACAACTTCATTTAACTCTTGAAAGGTAATTGAGTTATTGTATTACATTTACAAGTAAAGCTTGGAATTAACATTTTATGTGAAAGAAGCAAATTTTCACTCCCGTGGAATTCCAGGAAAGGACTGGATTATTCTTGCAAAAACACAATTACCTCTTCCATATTTGCAAAGCATTATGGGCTGCATTGTTCCCCATGACATCATACTCAGCTGAGACAATCAAGTAATTCAGAATTAATTTCTTAGACCTAACCTCTGCGCATTATCATATATTATTTCTTCTACCTAGCTTAAAAAAAAAAAAAACAAGTTCCACATGATTCAATACTGCTCAGTCTCCAAGTCAGAAGACTGTTACACAGTTAGGAACATATCACTGGCTCAGTGACTTGCTTGGTAGTCTAGTGAGATATCAGGTCTCTCTTGCCCACATGTAGTGACCAACTTTCCTAGTTCACAAAGAAAATAAACAGACTACCTACTCTACCCTCACCTCTAGAATTAATTCCTTTCCTTCACTGAATATTACTGGCATTTTGGTCTCCACTATGTAATCCCATACTGGTTTTAAACTAGTGACTCAGGCTTGATGGTGATGAGGACTGCTGGTCCCTGCAGGTATCGCAGAAGTGCTCCATATACTCCAATGAATGATATTTCCAACAAGAGCATTGACTGGGACCAGCTGGAAACTCTTCCCAGTTGTCAGGGAGGGAAGAAATAGCAGGAAGAAGGGAGTATTTTTTGAGGAGTGCATGGTAATGTGAAACAGGGCTCCTACTGATGAGGGGGTGAAGGTGGCAGAGGGATCAGTCAGCAGCCCTCCCCTGGCGAAAATTCCTGCCTCACACTAACATCCCACTCTTCAACCCTCAGTTTGTTCTTGAATATGATTTCCAGATACTTAGAAAAACAGTTTCCTAACAACTGATATAATTTTAAAAGAGCACAAATACATGCTTCATACCTATAGCTAATTACGTTTTAATTAAAGGAGAGGATAAAAGTTGAACAGAAACATACTATTGTTAAGCTTGAATAAGTTAGGATAGCCTCAGTATTGGAACAAGCTTGCATATTTGCTGTGTGTCTGTCATACTTGCTGCATTTATTTATTGTCCTTCGGTGCTTTAAAATTATTAAATGGAGTGGAATATGTTCTTGGTTCAATGCATTCTTAGTTATTTGGTCATAAGTTGTGATAGTACAAGCTGCAAAATGCACAGTAAAAGTACTATATTGAGATTTCCTGTATGGATCATAGGCTCTTGGCTACTGACACAAGAGCATTTAATTTGCCCTAGCAGATGTATGTAAGACTGAACTATTGAAGAGAAGAGGTAATGAAACTACAGAGCAGATGTAGAAATGCAGTTTTAGTGGTGCTGGAAGAGAGTGACGTAGAGCAGAAGATGACTGCACACTCAGCCTTCAAAGCCTGCAGAGGTGCAGAAAGTGCTTGAAATCTCAACAGTCACTGAATGGCAATGTGTGGTTTATTTCACTAGCAGTCTTATAAAATGGGAACGTGGCCCTGCCTTTTACCTCCCTGAAGTGATTCTTCTCTGTTCACAGTGTAATGGGCCCTGCATTGGACCACGACTGGCTGTACAGCACAGACAGATATTTTGCCAGACCAAAGATGGGACTTCTGTGTCATCTGATCAATGCAGTGCCTTACCAAGGTAGGACATCTCTTATGTATGAATCCACAATCTTTTCAGAGATATTGAATGGACTAGTAACTTAACTGACAATTTATGGATTTCCCCTATGTAACAAAGAGGTCAGTCTGCAATCTGTGCAGTTATGTGTTACAAATCTCATCAAGCTTAAGCCCAGGCTTACTTATTTGTTCCTAGGATATCCACACCAGTGGGTCTGGAAAGTCTTCTGTGCATGCCAAATCTGACTGAAAGGCTGTGCTATCTCTCCTTAAGCTACCAGTCTTCTTCTCACTTATTTAAACACAGACTCTAACTGGGGAAAACTCCACTGTCACCATGGTAAAGACATTGACTTTATCTGAGCCTTAGGTATGCCAGTCAAGACTGATCATGACTGAAAATTAATATGATTTGCTCATTGGTTCCTAGTCATGCATTTTTATTATCTGTGTGACTAGTAGATATGAACCAAGTTTGCCTTTGCATCTTCTGTGAGACTGTGTTGAAAGGAAAAGAGAGGTTTCAGAGAATGGTTTTGTTTCAACTGGCTGTAAAGCCATAGAAAGTTACAAAGTGCTGCTGGACCACACAGGTCACCACTCATTGCACCTTTCAGCAGACCCTTCACAGAGAGGACATTTCAGCCAAATCCTCAAATAGTTCAAATGGTCATTTAACCCAGTATTAGTATACCAGTGTGCATCCACTGAGGGTCTGGTCCTTGAGAGCAGTTAAAAACTGTAACGTCACTTGCACCCTGTGAAGACCTAATCCATGCAGCACTCTGAGTGAATTACCTTTGGGATATGCAATGCTTGCTGTTGTCCCATCCTTCCCTCCCTCCTGCCCACAGGCCGTTGAACACCCAGAACTGCTGGACCGACGTCTGTGGTGTGCACTGGAGGGTCAGCCTGTGGACCGTCTGCACGGCTCCGTGTGGAAACTACGGCTTCCAGTCCCGGCGTGTCGACTGTGTGCACATCCGCACCAACAAACCTGTGATGGAGCATCACTGCTCCTGGAGGCCAAGACCATCAAACTGGCAGCGCTGCAACATCACACCCTGTGAAAATGGTACTTTGCTGAGAGGAGGGGATGCAGAGCAGTGCAGGGGTAGGAAAGAAGGCAGAGTTGTCTCTCAGAAATGCAGCACTGGACCTTGCAGCTGGGCATCCTGGGGAACCTCCAGCCTGAACATCTGCAAAATCCAGTGTCCAAAACTCAGCATCCCAGAGAGGAATGCTGCCCATTGTGGGATTTTTTGGAAATGGTATTAGTGCTGGGATTGTGTCCCCTTGCTAATAGCGTGAGAAATAATTCATACAGTCTTCTGGAGCAAGCCCACAGGAGGGCCACCAAGTTGTTCAGACAGATGGAGCACCTCTCCTACGAGGAAAGGCTGAGAAAATTGGGGTTGTTCAGCCTGGAAGAGAGAAGGCTTCGAGGTGTCCTAACTTCAGCCTTCCAGTACATGAAGGGAACTTACAGGAAAGATGGGGCAAGACTGTTTGCAAGAGCATGTAGTGACAGGACAAGAGGGAATGGGTTCAAATTGAAAGAGAGTAGGTTTAGATTAGATATTAGATATTAGGAAGAAACTCTTTACTGTGAAGGTGGTGAGGCACTGGTACAAGTTGCCCAAGGAAGTTATGAATGCCCCATACCTGGAAGTGTTCAAGGCCACGTTGGATGGGGTTCTGAACAACCTGGTCTAGTGGAAGGTGTCCCTGCAAATGGCAGGGGAGTTGGAACTAGATGATCTTCAAGGTTCCCTTGCAACCCAAAAAATTCTATGATTCTATGATTAACTTTCAGTTAATGGTACAGACAGAAAGAAAAACATGAATCACAACCAAACTTATGGCTATAGTCCAAATCCGGTAAGTAGGTTGATGATGGGAAATCCAGGCAAGGCTGCTTTCTTTCAGGTGACAGGTAACAAATTGGACCTGCCAAAGGACTGGAAAAGTTACTAATATTAAAAAAACCCGAACCAACTAAAGAGAACAGAGGTGCCTGTTTGGAAATGATGTTGTCACCCTCTAAATTACAAGCCAGTTGCTGTGCAATCATTGCAGGTGCAGCAGCAGAATCACTGTGCTTGCCTATGTCCACACCAGCTCTGACACTCCCTCTAAGTAGAGGCAAAGTGGACTACATAGGTCCAAACTCATGATGAGTTTGGGGGGTCCTAATGAAAGTTGAAGGGATGAGGGAGCTTACAGGTACCAAGCAAGACCTTTGCTGTCACTCCAGCCTCTTTCTGCTACATAGAAATGTCCCACATGTAAATAACAGTGGAGTTATTTGGCACAGACATCACTGGAGAGAGCTGTACAACTGCCCTGTGATGTTTCCCTTTTCCATCCATGGCATGGGAAGTGGGACTCCCTCAGGCAACAACCCACCCAACATCTTGCAGGGATATTGGACAGTTTTCCAACCTGGAGCTAAAAAGCAGGAGGCTGTGGGCCTCAAAAACTGTCCGAGTGTTACCAGGACCTAAGCCCAGGGGAGTTCAAAAAGTGTCTTAACATCTGCATACTGGGCTGTGTTCTGCAACACGTGTGAAAAACACAACACAACACCAGGTAAGCTGAGGTGATACTCCCACACACTGGCTCTTCAAATGTAAGAGGTAGGCCAAAGTGTCTCTGAGCTACTCTGTTAAAGTAAGTTTCCAGTTTTATTTACTACTTCATCTTTGGTTCATCAGCTGTTAGGAAACTCCTCGAACCTCTCTAAAATGCTGGTAGATGACAAACACAGGGTTGGAGCAGCCTCAGCAGCCCTCTGCCCAAGCTCCAAAAGCAAAAGTTGCCCAACACGTTCTCCTTCAAGCCTTTGGCTACTTGCAGTTCACAGTCAGTCTTTGCAGCAAGTCAAGCTCATGTTCATAGTGAAACCTCCCAACACAAAGGTCCTCCTCTTGGCCACCCAGGGAAATGTCCTCAGGTAAGAAATCCTTCTTTCCTTATTTCATCACCATTTCTTCTTTTTGTTTCCCCTTTGGCAGTGGAGTGCAGAGACACTACAAGGTACTGTGAGAAAGTGAAGCAGCTCAAACTCTGCCAGCTCACCCAGTTTAAGTCACGTTGCTGTGGGACTTGTGGAAAATCTTGAAGACAGACAAAATGAAAATGGAGGAACAAGGGGATCACAGCTTTGCTTCACTGAGGCAAGGGCTTTTGCAGAAAATACAAATGGAATGGAAATATCCTTTTCATTTTATTCATTTCCCTTTAAAAAAAAAAAAAGAACACCTTTTACCCAAATCATTGTTGTAAAGGGTCTTGAAAAGTTTTTCCTTCTATAAATCTGAGAGACAGAATGCAGCGAAACATGGTCATGAAGGTAGACCATAAAGGGTCAGAGAGACCAATGCCACCAGAAATGGGTGTGAGAGGAGTGGAGCTTCCCCATAATCCATATACATGCCTGGGGGATACACCAAGAGACAGATGAGGAAGAGGACCAGAGTAAAAACCTAGCATCACATTACAGAATCACAGAATCACAAAGGTTGGTAGAAACCTTCAGGATCACCTGGTCTAACCATCAACCCAGCACCACCATAATCATCCCTAAACCATATACCCGAGTGCCACGTCCAGACTCCGCTTGAACACTTACAGAGATGGTGACTCCACAACCTCCCTGGGCAACTTAATCAAATGCCTAGCCACTCTTTCAGTGAGTTTTTTTTCTTTCTAATATCTAATCTGAACCTCCCCTGGCACAACTTGAGGGCATTTCCTCTCATATTTTCATTTGAAACATGACAGAAGACACCAATCCCCACCACACCACAACCTTCTTTCCCGTAGTTATAGAGAGTAATGACGTACTCCTTGAGCCTCCTCTTCTCCCAGCTGAACAACCCCAGCTCCCTCAACCACTCCTTATAGGATGTGTTTTCTAGACCTTTCACTGGTTTTGTAGCCCTTTTCTGGATACGCTCCAGCACTTCAGTGCCTTTTCTGAGGGGCTCAAAACTGAACACAGGATTCAAGGTGCAGCCTTACCAGCAGCAAGTACAGCAGTACAATCATTTCCCTGGTCCTGCTGGCCACACTATTCTTGATACAGGACAAGATGTCATTGGCCTTCTTGGCCACTTGGGCATTGCTGATTCATGTTCATGCTGCTGACCAGCCCTCTCAAAGTCCCTTTCTGCTGAACATCTCTTAAGCCACTTTTCCCCAAGCCTGTAGCATTGTTACGTGGGGTTGTTGTGGCTCAAGGGCAGGACCCAGCACTTTGCTTTATGGAACCTCGTGCAGTTGTCTTCAGCCCACCAATCCAGTCTGTCAAGACCCCTCTGCAGATTCTTCCTTCCCTCCAGCAGACCAACACTCCCACCTGACTTGGTGTCGTCTGCAAACTGACTGAGGATGCACTCAATCCCCTCAGTTTGACTGGTCAAATAGTGTGCTGGAGAAAAAAAAAAGGCTGAACTAAACTGCATTATACGGATACTTCATCTGTCTTGGACTACTTTGAGAACACAAGCATATGATTCTGTTTTATAAACTTATTTGTTACATCCAAGATTGTAACCCTTCTTTTTAGTTTCTAAACCACTCTCTCCTTCTCACATCAGGCCTGGAAATTATTTCAGTGGGACATCCTTGTGATCTTTCAGGATCTGGTGTCTGGGGAAGTTGAACAATGGTCTATAATATAAGTGGATCTAAAAGACACCTGAAAATGTTCCCAGTTTGAGCTTTTGAGGGAGAATTGGGGATTGAAGTGTTGCCCTCAGCACAGAGGTGAGGTGATGATGTTAATTATTATCCAGGCAAAGGAGAGAAAGTATGATCTGCTTGACAGACTGTAATACAAACCTAAAAATACTGTTCCCTAATCAGCACAGGCAGGAAAGGTAGAAACCGTCTGTGATAATGGGAGGTACCTTGCATACTGCATCCTACTAAGACTTATTTAGAAAAGAGAGGAGTACCAGTTCCCAGAGTTCAGGTGTTTTCAGACCTGGGGTTTTGGAAAGGAATTTGAAAAAGTGGGTTTTCCTAACCTGCTAACACAAAATTTCCCTCTCCTAACAGCCAAGCCTTTTGGACATAGTAGAAAAGAGCTTGATTCTGGTTTCTCATGGCTGTTCCCAGTCGGTAGAAACAGAATGGATTTAGCATCAGCCCCAGAGGGGTAATGCAAATAATTTTTAACAAACTTGCTCCTCTCCAGCTGCCTCTCACAACAAAACAGGTGTTATAAAGCCACAGATATTTAAGTCCATGTATAACACCCTGAAGATACAATCTAAAAAGTGGGACTCAAACATCACACCCACAGCATGATTTTGCATGCAGGCTGTGAGTAGTGCTCCATGCTTTAAGTTCCTGTCCATTCTCTGCTCTTCTTAGAATGGGGCCCTAAAATTAGAGAAAATCTGCAAAGTAGGGTGTTGAGAATTGTGGAGCTTTAAAGAACTACTTGGATACTGAGTTTTGGTTGAAGACCTCTAAATTAAAGAGAATGGTGGTGCCTCTCCTGTAACCCCTGGTGGTGCTAGTGTGTTGTGGTATGCTAATGAAATGCTGTTCAAGTTCTACCATGCTGCAACTTCCATGACGTGGATTTTTCAGCAAAACTGGGAGTCCATTTTCGAGGTCAGTGCCAGGTTCATGATATTAAGCTGTCTCAAATTGGCTTATTTCAAAACACAACTGGCAGTGAATGCTCTTAGTACAAATGGGTTTTCAAGAGTGTTACTAAGCATCAGTGTAACTTTTTATTTAAAAAAATAATCCTTTTCTATGTATGTGAATGTGTATCTTTTCTAATATTTATTAGGATTTCTTGTATAAAAAGTGCAATAGTAATAATTGTACAGATAAAACTATTTTGCCATTTTTTTAAAATCTCCCCAGAATTTTGTTCCTCTAAAATCAACAGTAATAGTGTATTTCTCTTAGTTTTAATAGCACTTGCATTTAGTTGGGAATCTGCTTCACTGTGCACAGAGTGCTTTATAAACTATGGCGTGAGGAAGGGATGATGTTTTTAACTTGTGAAATGGTAGTTATGCATGGAATGAAGGACAATTCCTTAATAACATAATAATAATGATGATGATGATGACAATGTGATGGAAATTTCTGGTACATTAGTTAACACAAAGCAAAGTATTTGGGAAAACATTTTCTTTTGTTTAAAAGCAAAACATGCTAAGGTGATCACATGTTCCATGTGTTATCTGTATAACCGTGCACAGGATAAACATGAAGGATCTGATCTGGAGTGGCCACTGTGTTGATTTAATTTCACGTCTGTCTTCTGAATTGTGACTTGGCAGCATCTCAGTAAGATAAGGATTGCTGGATATTTTAGGAATCTCTAAAGGGAAAACAGAACAGCAAACTTGTATTTATATAACTTTTTGTACAAGTAATGCAGGTTACTTATTTAACCACTACTGTCTGATGTGTTGGTTTTTTACCTTAAAAACAAAAGCCAAATTAGCAAAGTTGTTGGAGTTCTCTGTCCTTATTCCATATTATGATAGCAGCACACATCTATTACACAAAGTACACATAAGGTGCCTGCCTTGGGAAAAGAGCATGTCTTAACTCATTTTTAAAGGTCTCCAGCCATTAAGATTCTGCACCCTGTCTTGAAGATATGTTTTAATTCTTCATTTGCCTTGCTTTATTCTTTTTTGTTAATGTCCTGCCTCTATTGCTTTTGCAGAAGTATAAAGCCATTGCTGCTGGTTCAAGGATCATGGATATCAATAAAAGTATACTCCTTTTTTTCTATACAGCAATGCTTCAAGACATCTTATAACTCTCCTCAGCAACTTACAGCTTGAAGAAACACCTGTTAATTCAATTTTTCCTTACAGATTTCTGCTGCCTTCAGTAATGGAGCTGCCAGCTACCTGATGCACCTAAAGCATAAGATGTATACATTGAAGAAATCCTAGTAATGGTCAGAATTACGAGGGGAAAGAAGAAAAAAAATTGATAAAACAAAAGCATTTTTTCTTAACAAAGACAAAATTGAGTTTTGAAAACTAAGCTGGTTCTTGCTCTTACCCTTCTCAAACAAATAATATATCTCTTCTAAAAGGGAAAAGTGATTTTGCTCTGATTTACTGACAGTTTTCCTTGTGTGATATTCCTGCATATATTTTTTTTAGATACCTAAACTGCAGGTAAATAACACCTCACACATACACTAACTCAAACAGACAACCAAGTCAAAGACCAGACCTAAGACTTCGAAGCAACAGTACTGAAGGCAGTGGGAATTTCATCATTCATTTTGAGTAAAACAAGTATAGAAGCTGGTGCTGATGTAAAATAAACAGCAGGCTGGCTTAGGTTCCCAACAGAATAATGATGCTCTTTTATGCATATGGCTTTAGTTACTAGTCAGGTCAAAAAGCCTTCAAAACCTTCAAAGCGAGCTTCCAATTTTGTTCCTCCTACTAATTTTCCTCACAAAAAACAGTTCTGGAAAAAACAGAAAAGTACAGTGCTGAAAGGTTTCCCACAGAAGACCTACTCCTGGCCTCTGTTATGTGGCAAGGCAAGGATAACTAAACTACTCCAGGCATCTGCATCTTCATGCATCATCTTAAAATGAGAGAAGCCATAGGCAGAGATTTCAAAAGTAACCTTTAGCTGGAAATTTTCTTCCTGCTATCTGGCTGCAGTCATATGGACTGCAGTTGAAGCTTTTTGACTTTTAAGTTACTCTTAAAACTACCTTATCAAGTAAAAGCCTAGAGATCACCTTGATATCTGTTTGGTGCTCAAACACCAATTCATTAATAAATTTGGTTATTCTGTGTCAGCATAAGCTGACACCTCTGTTTGTAGAAGAAGGTGAACCAAAAGCTTACTCTTTTCCAGTTTTTCAAGACTGTAAAAAACCAAAAGTTTTTAATGCCAACTTTCAGTAAGTCACTGATCATTTTAGCTAGTAGTTGAGTAAATTGGCTTCATTCATTCAGTTACGTAATTTTTAACAAACGCTTTCAAACTGTTTTGAATGTCAGATTTTCTCACAGCGTACCAGTGTATACAGTTGAGAAGCTCAAAACTGCTCATGCTGACTATGGCTCTGCATATTAGCTGCAGACCACATTTTGGGAATCATCAGTTTAACCATTCCCTTCATTCTGTTTTGTAAAGGTATATATGTATTTATCAATAGTGTCATGTATTAACTCTCCACTTTTGTGGAAACTAAACCTAAGAACTTGTCAAATACTTGAGTTTGCACAAAACTAAGGGGGAGAGGAAAATCAGACCTCCTTTCTCTACTGATCTCATACATTTCTCACACCGAAAGCATATTGGTTAGTCATAGTTTCACCTACATTGCTTTTCATTGTCTCCACCCAACATCTCCCCTCCAGTCAATCAAAATCAAATCTAAAATCTGGTCATATACATAGTAATTTTAATAAATTTTTATGTAAAGTTTTCACTAAGGCATTTCAATAATATGCAATCCAACATGCTATTTATCCAGATTTATAAGCAGTAAAGCCACATGTCAACACCTCCTCTTTTGATTGAAATACTTATTTCTGTTCTCACCTGCTTTTTCACTTGTTCCTATTCTCAACTTCACATGTGAAGACATGAATACAACAATACATTTTATTCTCCATCTGTCCCTCTGAGAAGAAAATACTATGCTCAAAGTCGTCGTTCCTTCAGTGATCACTTGTAGGGGCGTGTTTGAGGTACATAGGGGATGTACCAGGGCAGAGAGGCCCAGAGAGCATGCATCGAGGTTCACAACCCCCATTGGATAAAGGAATCACATGGTTATGGGATATAAAAGGGGGTGCATTGTTCAAATAAAGCTCTTTGTTCACCATCTCACATGGAGCGTAATGTCTTCTTTATTATATAAAGGCAGCGCGCCATGCGGCACGCTACAAATGGTGACCCAACCTGGGCCCAAATCTACATTAGATCAGATATTTTAAGCCTGTACCAGGTATATATCGGTAGATTCCAGTTATCACTTTAGTTTTATAAAGTGTGAGTCTTTTACCGAAAAAAACCTAGACGTCTGTAAACGTTGCCTTGGGGTAGACCAAGGAACGAAGTTACTGAGCTCAGAAAAGTATAGGGAAGTGCACAGAAAACAGGAAGAAAGAAGAAAAAGAAACCGACCGGCGGGCAGCGGAGACCGGAGTCGGGGACCAGCAGACGGGAGCGGACAGCGAAACCGCGAAGCTGAGTGAGTTATTAGCCCTGCAGCCCCCAGCCCCCACCAAAGGGGGCTCGGAGCTGCTGTGCTTTATCTCGCGAGCTGCTTCTGGGAACTCTGAGGCTAAAGCAGTGGAGACCCAGGCAGAAGCAGCTGAGCTGCCCCGTGCTGCCACCCCGGAGCTCCGGGGACCCCAAGACCACACGCACACGCGCTGGCCGCCCTGCCCGCCACCGCAGGGATCTATAACGGTCGCGCCGGGTCTACCCGACGAACCAAGCCAGTGCTGCCTCACCACCGCCCACGCCGCCCGCCGCCCCTGTGCGTGTTCGCTGCCCCTTCCACCGGCCGCGCGGGACAGAGGAAGCCACACCGAACGCCCGCAGCCCCCAGACCCACCTCGCCTAGCGAGCCCCGCACCCACCTTCTGCTGACCCACGCATGCCTGTAGCCACTGCGTGAAGCCTCCGAGTAGGGGAAAAACCCCCGAAAGCCACGCCGCCGCGCCGTGCCGAGAGCACCCCCCCCACCGCCCCGTCGAGCTGCGCCACGCCAAGCCCCGAGCCGATAGCAGCCCCGTGCCGCCATCAGGGCCACCCCTGCACCCCGTGCCGTACCGAGGGACGCCTCGCCGCATGCCAAACCCCCACGGAGACGCCTAGCAGCCACGCCGGAGCCCCGGGACCCCAGCAGACCCCCGCGGGGACGCTGAGAGGAAAAAAGCAGCGGAGAAGCAGCCGAGCCAAAATCGAAACTAACAGCAGCCGAACAAAGCCTCCGGACCAAGGTAACAAAACTCTGTCACCTTGGTAACTTCGCAACACATTGAAACACTTTTAAAACACAATTGCTGACTCGCAAAGATACACACAAGAAATTGGGACTCATTCTAAGCCACAGCCACCAGCAAAACGAAACAAGTAACCCACACACCGCTCTCCTCGCTACACTGCTAGCAACAGCACAGCCCATAGGCATGCAGCAGGGGGGAGGGACAGCAGTTTGCAATCCGAACTCACTATCGGGACCCGAGAGCCGAGGTAACACGAGCAACTGGGAGGGACCGGGACCCCAGATGCAAAATCCCAGCCCATGGGACCTTTGCAGGGAACCCCGGCACAGAGATGGGGGTAATAATCCAGTGTGCTTACCCCCAATCCCTGCAGATGATCAGCCACGTGTGTCCCCCTGGCCGCCGCCATCTTGCCCCCCACGTGGGTGAGACCCCGACTCTTCTCTTCCGTCCCAAACCCCGCCCCACTCCACCCATAGGCGCGAGGGGGGAGGCAACTCCGCCCCCTCGCCGCCTCCGACACCCGCCCACACCCCCCCACCGGGAACCGAGGCTGCCGCAGCCACGGGGAAGGGGGAATGGGGGGAAAAGGAGGAGGGACTAGCAGTAGTTCCGTCAGGAAGGAGCGAAAAGGCAAACAGGGGAAAGTCAGATAACAGGTGGAAACAAAACAGGGATAAGGCAATTCGACTGGGCAGCCTGGAGGTTAACCGGGCATACTCAAATGAATTTAGCCAAAGCCACATCCCTCAGCCTGAGCTCCTGCATGCAGCTGCTCAGAGGCTGAGGCATTTGGTAAGAGATGGTGGCACATCCTTAAATAATGCCTGCCGGTATTCGGAGGCATTGAATTCCATCCAGTTTTCCACCTCACATGACACAGAACATGTGCACTGCTTATCTGACTTTCGGGAGAATTATGCCAAACACATAGCAAACACCCCAGCCGACATAACAATAAATCCATTAACTGGAGAAGGAAGACACAGCACAGCAGGTGCCCAATTAAATCACCCCCGAGAGAAATACAAAGTAACAATCAAACAGGCGCTGAGAGCCATGAGAAGGCTTCTCACCACAGACCAAAACAGCAATCGGCCCAGCACAAAAGTGTTACAAAGTTGTGCTGAGCCAAACCCACAACATTTAAATTGGCTGTGGACTGCTTTACACAAGCAAATTGAATATAATGAAGCCAGAGAGATGCTGTATAAGCAGTTGGCTTCTGATAAGGTGAACACAAGCTGTGAAAAAGCTTTGCAAACCTTTCCTGGAGGGGTTGACCACGGCACTGCTGAGCTGGTTCAACCTTACCGAGTAATTGGCTCTGAGAAGCACCGGTCTGCCTCTCTAGCTGCGGCCCTAGGAGCCCAGCTACAAATACGAGAAGAGGCCAGACTTAGAGCAAGTGGTGTCAGGTGCAGTAGCACTGACCACTTTCAAGGAGATTATATCTGGAGACCCCTTTGCAGCAATTCCCCAATATACTCTAATGGCAAGGAATGGGCTGACTTATACCCAGGGTGCCGAGGGCGAAACAGATGCCTTGCTGCCAGCATCGCAATGCTTGTTGCCGTGCTGTTTGCCGCCTTCTGTGCCACCGGCTTTCATGTGCCAGAGAGGAAGCAGCTCGAAGCGAGCCCCAAAGTGGCAACAAACAGCCCAGACAATGCCCCTATATACTACACACCCAAGAAAGGTGACAGGTGGAGAATGCTGCCAAACTCTAGAGCAGTAGGTGCAGTCATAAAGCATGGAGGAGCACCGCAGCATGGACTGCCTTCGCCCAATGTGTTCCCAACAAGTTGGCCGCTATTGGTAACTGATTCAAAGCTTTATTCCTCTACCACCTTCCTACACCCTGAGGATGTACCAAGGCTTGCCTTTCCCATCATGGCCTTGAAAAATGCACGACCCATGCAAGGCTATTGCTGGGTTGTCTCTCCTCAGGGAATGCAAAATAGCCCGACAAGGTATCGAACAACCACGATACATCCTTGTACAGGTAACATACCAATGAGCATGGCCACAGGAAATGAACTGCCATTTACTCTTACTGCTCTAATCAAAACTGTCCAAGATGCAGGGTTACAGCTTGCAGCGGAGAAAATTCAGCAACTGTTACCCTGGACTTTCCTTGGACAGGAATTCATGCAGCAAGAAAATTCTCCACAGCTGCTGCAGCTCAAGGTAAAAAACACTTTATATTTACACGAGTTGCAAAGGCTTCAGGGGGCCATCAATTGGTTAAGGCCTATTTTAGGCATAACCACAGAGGAGCTACACCCTCTGCTTCAGCTGCCAAAGGGAGACTCCAGTCTAATGTCTAATAGGCTACTGATACCAGAGGCCAAAAGGGTGTTAGGCATTCGTACCAAGGCAATAGAGAGAGGGATAGGCAGAAGGAGAAATCCTGAACTGCAGATCTACCTAGCCTTCATTCCCAGCAGGTATCAACTATTAGCAGCCTTGTTACTGTGGGATCAGACTGAAAAAGACCCACTGCAAATACTGGAGTGGCTAATTTTGCCCCATGTACCATCTAACACTGTGTGGACTGTTAATGAGATGTATGCAAAGCTTGTCATTAAAGGCAGACGAAGACTGCAGGAACTGGAAGGAGAGGACTCTGCCACTACCATCATCTACATGCCAGCTACAAAGGACAATTTGGATAGGATGCCAGCTGAGGATACAGGGTTCCAAGCTGCCTTAGCAAGCTTTCATGGTAAAACTTTCATGCATCTCTCAAAATACAGGTTGTGGGCAAAGATCACTAATCTACCTTCAAAAGCCACGACCAGATGCAAACACGGACCAGTAAAAGGCTTCAGGGCCTTCACACATGCATCTGGGAACAACATAAAAGGCTGTAATAACTCAGGTAAAATCCTGCTACAAAACAAGGGAAGGACAGACGCAGACCACGAACCAAAGCTGTGCAGGTTCTGGAAATGACCTCGTCCATATTGCCTTGGGAAAGTTCATTAAGCAATCTTTTAATGTTGTAACTGATTCTGTTATATTGCAAGTTAATACCCCATCTTGAAGGTTTGTTTATTTGAGATATCGTTAGTCTTTACCTGTTAATTGAAATGCGTTCTATTAGGTTTCTTGTGAATCATATGACGTTTGGAGTTTCATACAATGCATACAAGATAACACAATGACAGGTAAGGGCCAACAACTGACAGAGAATTAAGAGACTGACTAAATAACAACGTTTAACATCATATCTAAGGTCTTGAAGCAAGCGAAATTGTCTAATTAATTTTTCCATCAGAACGCAAGTTCCTTGAACAGACAATTCAAACAACATTCAATCAGCTCAAGACTTCATCATGTCACGCCCAAACTGTCGAAAAATCACAACAATGCCATCTCAGAACGCGTTAACCCCATATGGTTAATTGCAAATGAGATTGAGCAAACAGGTATCACACACATCTCTGAACTGGACATATTATAATATGTACATGTAACAGTAGGTATATACCCACATCATGTAACCTCCGCAACACCCACTGCAGAAAAGGCCAGAGTGTGACACCTTGGCTTAGTTGCCCAGCAACTCTTGGTCCATAATATTCACAGTAAAGCAGCTATATTTCCTATCAAATAGGAAAATTCTCATGTCACAAGTATTCCACACTCACTCATTATACAGGTAATTATACAAACAGCACACAACACATCAAAACAGTGTC